CTGCAATGGTCAAGGTGCGTTGTTTTGCTGTCGTTATTTCTTCTGTCTCATATGCTCGTTGAGTATTGCCAACTATTGTCGTTTTTTTTTTTGACTTTGTTCTGTTTTTTGTCTCTGATTTCCTAACAGAATTAAAGATTGTGAGTAGATTGGCTACGTGCTGTTCATACCAACATATACATTACGCTTGGCTCAGCTTTTGAACTGCAAAATAGTGAATTTTATGACCGCTGTAGGTCACTGTATCCATTTGGGATTGAACCTGCAATCTTTGTGGACAAGTTTCGGATGGCTTCAAACTACACTATTTTTGTAGTTCTTTCTGGTTAAACGTTCATTAAACTATATATCCACGAAAATATATGGTTTTGATTGGTTTGCTGGCGGTTGCAATAATTTAATGTTTTGTTGTTCAAGAGTTATTTGTATCTTGTCCGTTTCTAATTCTTCGTTGTTCACACTGAAATTCCATAATTCAACAACGTCTCAAGGCCTTCCACAAATCTAATAACGTTGATCGTATGAAGACGATTCATGGTGCATTTATGTCTCAGATTTCATATTGGTAGCATCCCCCATGCTCTTACGTCTTGTCTACTTCTAGAAAACATATTCCAATTCGCTACAAACATGTCGAGTCTTTTATCTCTTCTTTTTGTTTTTTTTTCTTATTTATTCATATTATACAGCGAATTAACACGAACCTAACATAGCCACATCACTATCTCGTTGAATGTTGTCCACAGTGTATCGAAGTTCTCTCCCTCTCTCCATTAACTATCTCATTCTGTAGCTATCGGCGATCTATCATGAGACTGACTGACTATAAAGTTCGTACGATTCGAGCTGTGCTAAACATGGTTGTTATTGTGGTCCTCACTAGTTGCCGCTATCTATCTGAAAGTCAATTGCTGATGATGTTCATCTTATTTATGAAATTCTGTCAAATATTATTGATTGGTTTCAAACTTGTAGATCGACCACGTTTCTTTTTTTCGTGGGATTTCATGCTCGTCGTAATGTTTTGGATTACTCTTGTAAGGAAAATAAATAATATTAATCTTTATGTGTTGTTTACTGTATTACACGTCATCTCGTGAAGATTTCTGATTGGTATACATTTTATTCTACTGTGGTTATTCTTCCAAAAATTAAGAATGAAAGGTAAGCAGAGTGAGGGTTTCGTCAGTGATCCGAATTTGTTACCAAGGATCCGGGAGGTGTGTTGTTAACAGTGACTCTTGATTCGTTACTTTTTTGAAGCTTGTTTGGTTGCAGTACTGCTTCAATTTTCCTGATCAGAAGTTTTTCCGAGCTGAGGATGTTGCATTCGATCTGCAACAAAAATACCTGTAAGGTTTTAAGGTTTCGATACAGGTATACATATATTTATATGTATGTGTACATATATGTGTTTGTACAAGCATATCTACGCACATACATGCGTTTTTTTTCACTTATTTTTACATGACTTGTCACTACATCTACTATGAAGATCCCAGTACTTCTTGCATTTGATTCGTCTTCTTCGCATTAATCGTTATGAAAGGTTTCGAACACTTTGCGTGTTCTTTCGGCAGCTCCTTGAGGATATCATGTTCTTTATGAATGTAAAATGCTGACCGCTTGCACTCTTGGAGTTTGTCGAGCTAAAGCGCTCCCGGGTGTATTGCATTATAGCGTTAGGGGGTGGAACCAGAATTTTCCTTCCTGATGGGCTGTGTCACTGACCACTGCGCCTTACCCTCCACATATGCACTGTATATTCATGTACATCTTTATATATACATATATGCATAATCATATATGTACTCATATGTGCATATATACACATACGCATATATATATACATATATATATATATGTATATAAATATCTTTGCTTATCCTTCTATACTTAATTTCTTTTAGTGAATACAGTCGGAAGAAATACAAGCCATTTGTTACAATAGTGCGAGAAGGGCTGCGTCGCCTCAACATTATGGACGGTTCAAATACAATTTTTTTTGATAAAGAGGCGAATTCGAGTCAAATTAATACCAATGATGATGATATTACTGTCGTGGAAGAGAAAAAAGAAGGGCTTCTGACGAATCAAACAGGCAAATCAGAAGTGTCTAGGAAAGGTAGAAAAAGGAAGGCGTTTAGGTTTGCTTTTACTTCCCTTATTTCTGTTTTCTATAGATTTCTGTATTATTGTGCTATAGCTCATAGACTTGGCTTTTTAGCTCAAATTCTGCCATGCCGAAAGTCGATGATGTTTGCATTTCTAGCGACGAAGAAAACAGGGTAAAATTGGGAAATGTTAAGGTATGGTTCTTTCTGTGTTATTATTTCTTTTTGAATATTTTTTCAAGTTTTATTGTTAACCCAGCTATTTTACAATTTTTAGTCTGGTCGAGGCATCGGCAATTCTTTGGCTACTCATGGTAACAGCAGAACAACTGAATTGTCGTCTATGTCTAGAATGTCCTCTATTACTAAAAAGAACCGGGAAAACGTGAAGAATTCGGTAGGTGGTTAGAATATAGGTTAGAATTCGGTGGTTTCGGTTGGACGCTGAAATTCACTGTTTATATTTGCCTTAGGGTTTAGTAGTTTCAATAAATTTTTTTTAGGTAAACTCTGTGTCTGCCACTTCGAACTCATCGCGCGGGTTTGGAAGTGTGCAAACGTTCTCTGTTCAACCACGTTCTTCGTCAATCACTTTTGAAGATTTAGGCGGTTGTGATAGACAATTTTTGGTTCGTTACGTTGTTCCTTTCAAAATTTCTCTATGTATGCGTAGATATGAGATGTACTTTAAATTTTCTTTCAATCAATTTACGAAGAGACATGTTTGTTTCAATCCATCCTTGCTCAAAATTGATTTCGACTTCTAACTTTAAAGATGGGTGGTTTGGTTAACAGTAAATTTTATTAACTGTAGTGAGATTACTTAGGACCTACCAGTTTTCCAATAAGAATCATAGTGTCTTTTTCGCTCGTGATGAAAGTCTGGTTCTTTGGAACCCATAGAACGTTTTTTTTTTTCGATTTTTCTCGCTACAGTTCGTGTAAGGGAGGGATCGTTTGCAAGTGAGATTTCGTCCAACTGAACCTACCATCGAGTGCACCGTTAGGGCCTGTAGTTACCGCAACAGCATTGGAAATTTTTTTCCATTTTTTAGAATTTTAAATTTTGCGGTTTCCTACCGGTGTATGAAGTCAGTGTTGTTATCCTCCCAGACTGATATGATAACAGTTTGCCGGCCTTCCAGTGGTAGAACTTTTGGCGTGCCCTGGAAACGGAATTGAACCAATGACCACGCGAGCACTGTAGAGCACTTCTAACTACTGCACTACTTGTGAGTAGGAACAATGGTAGTAAGATGTGCATATATATGTACATTTGTATATATTAGTATTATTCGTACATTACCCCGGGGTGGAGAAGCGCAGTGGTAGTGATACAGATCATCACGAACACAGTACTGGTTCGATCCCACTCTGTGCTCACCAAACCTCTCATCCCTCCGCGACGGAAAATTGCCACCGGATTTGTGCGGGAATAGATGGGCTATTCCGGAACTCCACGGAAAATGGGAAAATCGAGTCGACCAGCATTTAACGACATTCAGTGTGGAAGGAAAGTCCTCAAGAAGCAGGCACACGTAAAAAGTTGGAGGACCATCGTGGATGATGGGTACAAGGAAAAAAGTCGAGTTCGAGAAGTTCTGTGCTCCGCACAGGGGATACGAATGACGCTTCGCATCGGTAAAAAAAAATGTTTACATGACACGTCATCAAATCTACGGTGCGAATCCTAGCATTTCTTGCATTTGTTTCGTTTTTTCTTTTTCACATTCGTCGTCATAAAGGTTTCCAAGTGCTTCACATGTTCTTTCAGCTAATACTGTATGATTTCATTTGCTTTCACCAATGTCTTAGAGTGGTGATCAAGTTGATTCCGTTTGTAATCTTGGAGATAGCCGACCTGAGGCGTTCCCATGTGATAAAGCTCTCGGCGTTGATTTATCGCTTAGGGATGCGCCATGCATTCGACTTCATTAAGCATTGTCTGTGGGTGATTGAATGCATATCTTGCCTTTACAATGACTCGATGATGTATCGAGACAGTGCTGGTATCCTCCCAGACAAGTCCGGTACCAATTTGTCGACCTCGGAGAGATGGAAGGCTTGGTGGGTCATTGACGCGGGAGTCGATCCCATGTGTGTTGCAGGGTGCCTTCCGTGCACTGCGCCACACGCTCTCTCACATGCAAATATATATGTATATCATACATGTATACATATACATGTATATGCATGTGTGGTGTTTATATATACATACACATATATACTTGTATGGTGTACGTGCATATATATACATATATATATACATATATATATGCATATATATACATATATATACATATATGTATATATATATGCATATATATACATATATATATATATATATATATCCTTCCAACGGTTTATCGCCTCATCGTGCATGGGAGGTGTTCCTGGGTGTCGGGCTGCGATGTACAGCGGAGGTATTCATCTCCCGGTGGGGTTTCTCAACTTGAGAAGGAGTGCGGCGTTCTCATCAGGAAGTCCAGATATGGGTAGGCCAATAGCAGGATCTACCACCGTTCTGGTATCGAACTAGTCGCATGGTGACGAATCTTCCTGTGGTCCACAAGAACGAAGATTGGCTGTGGTGGTGGCAACCCGGGTAGATTTTCCATTCTGACTTCAGGGCTCCAAGGAACCACATTGGCTAAACCAGCAAAACTCCGAATAGCGGAGAATATGCTGGGGTCCGCACAAGCATTGAGGACGAGTTGTCCAACTATCCATATGTATATATATATTATATATATATATATATGTATACATATACGTATACGTATGTATTAGTGCGTGTATAGACATATGTATATCTGTATTTGTATGTATGCCTCTTATGTGTGGTCATCAAGAATTAATCGATATTGTTAAAATCACGTTATTTAGGAGGTTTGTCGTCTTGCTATGCACGTGAAGCGTCCGAAAACATATGGTGTTCTCGGAGTGGAACCACCAAGAGGATTTTTGGTGCATGGACCGCCAGGATGCGGGAAAACCCTTTTTTCTCAAGTGAGCACTATTTTCAATCGTTTGGGCGTTCTAGACTTGATATAACAGCTGAGAAATTTGCGTAAGCCATCCGTTCTATTTTTTGCTCACCAAATCCGTCTTATCACTAAAATTTCGGTTGTATGTTAATTTACAGGCGGTGGCAGGACAGTTCAATATACCGATGATACAAATTGCTGCTACAGAATTGGTCTCGGGCGTATCCGGCGAAAGTGAGGAGAAGATTCGTCAGTTGTTTTGTGTTGCAAAACAGCATGCGCCATGCGTGTTGGTTAGTTGGCGTTGAAAAACATTTTTTCTGTTATTGTGATATTGATTTATTTGTGTCATGTTAGGTTGAAAATTTTCATTTTGCTTCATACTTCTTTAACAAATATGCTCTTTTGAGTTTATATATACTTATACATATGTATGTGCATATATATATATATACATATATATGTGCGCTCATACACGCATACGTGCACATATATGCATGTATGTGTGCATGTATACATACATATATATGTATATATATATGTGTATAGATCCTGGATGATATCGACGTGATCGCACCAAGGCGGGAAACCGCGACTCGTGAAATGGAGCGGAGGATTGTTTCCCAGTTGAGCAACTCCTTAGATGGTAACATTTCAATTATGTGGTTTTTATTTGCTATCACAAGTATCAATTAGCACTTTTCCATATGCTTCTGATGACTTGTATTTGTCCCAATTGTTTCTTTGCGATCCGGATGAGGTTCACAGTGTAGCCGATTTTAGTGGTAAGCCAAAACAAAGTTTTCCGTTGTTGCCGAACCTCATGGTAACTTATCAGTGAAAAAAGGTACACTTATCATTCCTTCCCGAAGTTAAATGAAAGTAGGTTTAGAATAAAAGGTCGTACTGATTTGAAATTGTATGAGCGTGCGTCGCAGCTTTCGAAAATTTGCTATTCTACAAATTTTATCCAGTAAGGTTTGGATGGAACAGTCCTCGTCCTCTTCGTTTCTATTGTTGCTTATGGACATGTATTTAAGGAAGTTATCAGAAACTGGACTCTTTCTCTGTCGAACGTTTAGTACAATATGCATGAGTTCTTTTATTATTTAATTTCAGACCTTTTCGGATGGAAAAAGAATGTGTCGTTAGCTGAAAAAATTCAGGTAGCTGGTGATGGTGAAGTGGTTCTTAACGACGAAACGGAAACTATCGGTATTTTTTCTAATCAAATTTTTGTCAATTCGATGTGCTATTTTGTCACCACGTCTCACTCATAGAATGAGTTTTTGCGTTGCTTAAAATTTTATTCTGAGAAGTTTTTCCTGTGAAAAAAAGTCATCCCAGAACATTCGTACGTGCTAGTGATTGGCACTACAAGTCGTCCGGATTCCGTGGATGGTAGTCTGAGGCGGGCTGGACGTTTTGACTGTGAAATTTCGCTAGGTATCCCGGATGAAAGGGCTAGAGAGAAAATTCTGCAAACTGTGTGCAAGTAAGGTTTGCCTCATTAATTGCCCACTACATTGTAGTTTTTTTAAACGATCAATGGTTAACGACGTCTTCGTAAATGGAATATCTGAGATTTCGCTTGTCATACTTCACATTTTTAGTTGAATTTACCGCTAACAGTTTAGGAAGAGGGAAGGAAAGGGAAAAGCTTTACCATTCTTCTTAACGTTCTTCGTTCTTGAGCTTGAAAGGTCGTAGCTTTAGACTTACTCTGGACGAAGACGTGGACATCAAAATTGTTGCGCGATTAACACCGGGATATGTCGGTGCAGATTTAAACGCTTTGGTCAGAGAGGCCGCAAAATGTGCAGTAAACAGGTGTCTTTTTCCATAATTTCATAATTCGTCGTGGTTACCTTACTTTCTTAATTTCGCTTAGTTTTTATTTCGTCGTTTGGTGGTTCTGTCCAGTTATAGGGGGTTTTGTAGTTTTAGTTTTTTTTATGCGCGTGATTTACTTTTTAGGATATTTGACACAATTGTCAAGCACAAATCTTCCAAGCGGCAAATGACAAACGAAGAAATCAAGGAGGAATTGGATAAAGGTACGGTTTTACTCCAGTAGATTTTCCTTTATCTTGGTTTTTTTTTTTTGCTCTCTCCATGGTCTCCCCATTTCCTTGCTTTGAGTAATGGTATTTTGCGCAGGGAATTCCTCTACGCAGTTTCGTCGTGGCTATTTGGTTTTTCTTTCGAGACTACATATTCATACATCCTTGAATAAAAAATATCGTTAGTAACATAGCAGAAGTATTTTTTCTTACTTGTCGAGCATCTTCGGCAAGCACCAGGTACAGTTCCAATTGTTCTATGCTCTGCACCAAAACTCACAATGGCCAATACAATTCTTTTGCGAAATTTTTTATTTCCAGTGTTTTTAGCGGTTACCTAACCATGGATAGTCCAGTGGCTCTGGTGTGGCAGTAGTTTACCACATTCCCATGAAACGCCAAATTCCCAGCCATGGTGACGTTACTGGGGGATATGCAGCTGCTATACATCGTAGCTGAACTCATAGACTCGACGAAGCGATAAATTAGTGGAGGAGTGAACTTCGTCGGAATATTTATTGTCGACATGTTCTCCGGTACTAATTCCCATTTTCGGTAGTAATCTGGTTCTTATGAAATAAAAAAGAAAAAATAAGTAGTTATGGAGACAGTGAGTGTTGGGAGGACTAATTCGTTATCTGATGACGTTTCATCTTGTCAGATGTGTTTTCGTGCCTTCACATATTTTCTAGAATTATAATGCTGTTAATCTACTCATTGGTTCCACTTTATGTGGTGAAGAATTTTCAGTTGTTTCTTGTTTACCTACATCAACTTTTTCTGTATTTCTCACTGCGCTCTCACCGGTACCTCCGAATGAACTCGAAGGACACGAAGAACCGAGGCTTTCGACCAGGCTTCTTATGAAGAGTTCTACCTTCCATTCGTTGGTGTTCTTGTAATTTCTCGTATCAAGTAATTGATAACGAATTTTGTGTGTCAGTCTTCGTTCAGTTCCATCACGTCTAGTCTGTCTGACTGTGCACATCTTTTTGTGTACTACAGCGTAGCTAATCTCTGGTTGGTCATACATAGGACAAAACTCATGATTCCTTTGCTCAGTTGCTTGAGAAGTGGTGTTCCAAATATCTCTCTCTTCATAATACGCTCACGAATGATACTCATACTTTTATCTTGTTTACCTAGTTCGCAGATTTCCAAAGCTGTCATTTCTCAATGTGTTAAGGTACGTAAATCGTAAATTCGAGATTGACCCAGAGTTGGGTGTTCTTTTTCGTGTTGGGTTCCTCGTCGAAATGTGCATAGCCACAACATTTGATCGTGTTCATTTCGGTTAGCGTGAATGGAGACTGTTAACAAATCTGTTTGCAGGCGTACTCTTTTCTTGTTTTAATAACTGATGGGTTTTTCAATGTGAACAATTTTCGTATAAGAAAATTGACGTTGAGTAATTCTGTTGAGATCATAGTTCCTTCTCAAACCTCCAGCTCTACGTCCATAATGATTTGGAAGTAAATGGTTGTTTCCACAAGCAGTGCGAGTTTCTATTATGTATAAATCCCTGAATGTTTATTTATATGATCTTATAAACTGATCTTGTTCAGCTGATGCGAGGTTGGTGTAAGTTTTCGCTGTCGTTGTTGTTGTTGTTGTCGTTGGTGTTGTTCGTCGATGGATGACGTTTGGGCGATTTCGCGTTCGTTAGAGCCGAACTGTTATGAGAGGGACATTATTCGTTATTCGTCACAAGAAAATAATGTATAAGGCAGCAGATATGACGGAAAAAATACCTTTGAATATTCTCCTGAATATGAATATTCAGGAAAAACCTCTGAATATATTTACCTCGCTTGCCGAACACTAGCTCGCTTCTAGTTTGCATTTTGCTCTCTGTTCACAATTGATGAACCTATGATTCTAAGGCGGCGAAACTCCGTTATTCATCACAAGAAAATAGTTTATAAAACAATAATTTTGAGAGGAAATCGTAATAGTATTATTAGATCTCAACAAAGTTTTATAAAATCAAACTCGTACTATATTCTTTTACTCAGTAGTAACAATTGTAACCATAGTTGTAATATCAGAATTATTCAAGTGTTGACGTGGCTACAAGCTGATGATGATCCTACTGCACTTGAAAAGTTGGGCAGCTTTCATGTAAAGATGTCGGATTTCGAACGAGCGCTTGAAAACGTCCAGCCATCAGCGAAACGAGAAGGTTTTGCCACTGTACCGGATGTGTCTTGGGAGGATATTGGTGCACTCAGTGATATTCGTCAGGAGTTGGAATGGAATATATTGGTTCGTTTATCTACATTTGTGCGTTTTTGTTTGCAAAAACCACTATAATTAATGCTTTTGAAGTGGGATTTGTATTAGTACAGCTTTTTAACGTTGTCGCTTCTTCGCACTGCAAAATATTTGCCACAAGCGAGATAATTCCCTTGTCGAAATAGTGTTGATCGTTCTCGATATTCTTGTTGTGCAAACACGAGGTGTTACTTTATTCTTTGTTTCGTTAAAGCTGACGTTTCGGCGGATTTCGCCTTGCTCAGAGCATGGAGAGGTCAAGTTGACAGCAATCTATCCGGCCAAACACCTTCATAACCAAATAGAGAAAACGCTAAACCAAGATTTCTACCACATTTAACACAGCTCCGCACACTCACCGCTTTCTATGAGTGTTCCACTGATTATGTCGCATGAAGACCAACCGTACAGAGTTCACATGGAAGTGTTGATTGTGCTCATTTTTAAACGTGATGGAAACTGCGTGACCATTCCTAAAATCCTTCGATTTTCTTAGGTCGAAGCCTATTTTTTAATAAATCAAACTTTAATAATCGATGAAACGTGAGGTATAAGCTGATAGAATTGCATTATTATATTGTTTGAAAAAAGATGTTTTTAATTATAAATCGCTAGTTACGGGGATTCGCTGTGCTCAGAATACTTTTTTCTGATGTCTTGCTTTTTTTGCCGGCCAAAGGTTCGATCCCGCATCGCAGCCTCATCAAACATTCCATCCCTCCATGATCGGAAAATTAGTTCCGGACATGTGTCAACTCATTGTATGGGCCAAATATGTATTCCATCACCTTAAATGATGCTTGATGAAGTCAAATACATGGGCATTTTTCAGGGATTTAACTGACTAACCAAGGAAAGGTTAAGGAGTTTCTACATGGTGGAGATCGTTTTTATGCTTCATACAGCACCATTATAGTAAGATAGTTGTATGTCTTCTTCACTAAGGTGTCTTTGGCTCTGTGTGTCTGATCCTTCATTCTCGTCGTCTGGGTTTGCTACGGAGTGGGATGCCTAGCCACGCAGTGAAGGTCATAGCTTAGGTCAAATGGACACGTCGCGCCGCAGATGTGTGACATCAGCGCGTGAAAACAATTAGGGGGCATAAAAAATAGATCTCGTGGAAATCTAACGTCTTCGGATCGCCCATAGCCGTACTACGTTGTCCGAATAGTGTTGGTGAATGTTCCAGACGATGATGAATTTTTTAATGTTTTCGTGACATTGTGTCGACACTGTGGCTAGATTGAAGAAGTTCACTGCGGAGCTGTGCATATCCTGAATTAGCTTGGAGCAATTTAACACATTCACAATCATGTCAGTTTTTGTTGCAGTTGCCAATTTCTCGGTAACTTTAAAAGTACAGTCGAGAATTTGACCACGTATTACTGTAGAGATAGCACTGCTTTTCAGCGTCATGTGTAAATCTTCTAAAATGTTGTTTTCACCGTACATTTTCTTCAAGATTCGAATTTTCAAAGTGTGAAAAGTATAAAATTATAAAACTTTTTGCATAAGTTTGGTGACCAAGGATGGCGATGCATTCGTGGACATCGCATCCCTCACAATATACCAGTTGCTTGTGGCAGGAGCTTCCTCGACATGAAGCAAAAATGCTGGATTTTAGAAAGTTGAAATTTCACTATGGTGAAATACGTAAAACTGTATGTATAGGAGATGGTTAGCGCAGTGGTAGTTATCTCATTCTTTATGCGGAAGGCGAAAGCTATTCGCATCATGGTTCGATCCTTCCCCGTATCCACGAAACGTCCGATCTCTTCGTGGTCGTGAGATTAATATCAGACTTTTCTGAGATTTGGCCATTCACTCCAGTCCATGCAAGAACACCTGTGCACGAATATCCTAGATTCCAGTGCGAATCCACTCAACAAACTTTTGAAGACATTGATAAAGCAACATAGAAATCCTCAAACAGCAGCCGAATCTACACGCAAAAAAATTTGAAGACTTTCGTAGATGGTGGATGCGTGGGAACGAATGAAATTCAAGAAGTGCTAAGGTCTCCACAGTGTGATACGTGTGATGTCGTGTTAGGTAAAAAAAAAATTTGCAACTTGGATTAGGTTGTAGATATCTTTATCCGTAGATTGTTGTACTTTTTAGTTTATTTTATAGTGTTTAGTCGGAGCTGAGATGTATTTCTATAAAGTCGGAAGGCTCAGTTGTGTTTTTTGTAGAAGCACGAACGCTTTAAAATTATTGTACACTGTGGCAAATTTAATTTCTAATTTCACAATGTAGATGTGACTGAGGATTGAGTTTTAAGTCCAGACGACAGTTAGTAGTGACTTCTACCAGTTTAGAGAATGGAGATAGTTCTCTAAAATCACAGGGGAGAGCTTTTAGTGAAATTGCCTATTTAGTGTTTTTCTAGCATAGACAATAATATTTGTTCCCAGAGTAGTTGAGACTATTGCTTTTGATTATTTCAGTTTCCAGTTAAACGTCCAGAAGACTTTGCTTTGCTTGGCATATGCGCTAAACCTCAAGGTATTCTTCTATGTGGTCCACCAGGATGTGGAAAGACGCTATTGGCGAAGGCAATAGCGAATGAAACTGGAATGAATTTCATCAGTGTCAAAGGACCGGAACTTCTCAATATGGTACATTTCTTTTGAGATTGGTTGATGTAAGAACTAGATACTTTTTTCTGAGATTTGAAGGTCTATATGATTTTCGCTTAGTTTATTGTTGCTCAGTTTCCAGATTGGTGGGTTTCTTGGGTCTTTTTTGAAATTTTTTTATTTTTTCTTTGCATAAAGTACCACATAACCTTCAGTAGAAGATGTTTATAACTATTTACGTTTGTTGTTGGACTTCACTGATGATCTTTGTATTCTGACACCCACATACATCTCGATTTATAGCCAAGAGGTTGCGTTGAGGGTTTAGGGCCGGCCGCGGTAGCCATAATAAGGAAGATGACAAGGGTCGTAAACGCCAGGATATTGCGCATAAAAGGAATCGATATAAGCTGCTTGCCGTTCGATTAGTTAGCGAGAAAGTGCGTAGGGGTCAATGCTGGAATAAAATAGCCTGTCTTCATTTCGTATGTGAAGATGCCCAAAAAATCTGTTGATAAATAAAAGTTGTTGCTGCAAAAACGCTCTCGATGGAAAAAGTACACAAGAAATGGAAAACTGTTATTGCTACTACTTCTACTTTTACTACAGTCATTATTAACCGCTTTATTATGATTTTTAATCATCATCATGCGAAATTCAAGAGAGATCAATAAAATAGGGAGTAAACAAAGAAACTGGATACGCTTCGATCGTTGACCTCCATTAACACTCTCGCGAGAAGCGATACCTGTATGTCACAATGGTTTTGTGTTAGTGACCGGTTAGGCACTCATAGATTTCATTTCCTTTCCGGTGCTTTATTTTAACACTTGGAGCTGTTTTCCTACAGTTTCTGTTATCATTTGGTAGTTTGTAGAGCACAGATGTTGTTTTGGACGTTGGCCAAGCAAAGCTCTGTTTTGCGCCTAGAATTTTACAAAAAACAGTTCTCCGAAAGGGTTCACTGACCAGGAATTTGGGTGCTAATCGACTACTGTTTCAATTTCAATCGCTGTGATGAATCGTAGTGATCGCATAGAGTGTACGGGGACAAAAAATGTTGGATGAGAGACCCATAAATTACAGAAAACTTCCAAATGTTGACAGTAATGAATTTATATGAGGAACCATAGTAACTTCTAGTAAATGCCCCATAAATCAGTCATACCAATAGAATGATAGAGCAGAATCTTCCTTACAATCCATTTATCCATTTACGTTCACAACTAACGAACTCCTCTGGTTATCGAGAAGTTATTGTTTATTTTCAAAAAAGCGCCATGTCCATAAAGCCTGAAAATTTAGCGTCGACCAGTTTGCAACAAAACCGGGGTTAGGCGTTGTCGCTAGAACGTTAAGCATTCTAAAGGTGAATGCATAGTTAGCCTATACATTAACTCGTAGGACCCGCTGATATATGTATATATATTAGGGGATAGCGGAACGCAGTGCCAGTGATGCTGTCCAACACGTGGAAGCGAACTGGCGAGTGCATTTGGTAAAGATGTAGGAAGACTCTAACACTGCTATCCTAGGATCCTAGGGAGCATCTTCTCGACCGGCTCTCAGTTAAATTTATAAAGCAGACCAGAAAATTCCAGACACTAACTGAAACCACGCGGAATAATCCGAAGATCTTTGTGAAATATGGGTGCTAGGAAACGAATCGAATGCGAAGCGTGTTCGGTTCAAGTTCGGTACCGCATACGGTGTCCGGGTTGTGTAAAATAAAAAAGACACCAATGTATCAAGCGAGTGTTTTGTTCGTCCCAGTCAGGTCTCGCGTATGAATGGTGATTGATTGGCCTATGGCAATATCGAGCAAACAACTGAGTATATCCCAGGGGACCATTAACCTACTAATTTTTGCCCGGCGTTGCTATATTGCTAACATGGACAACTAGTTTACTCGCATATTATACGTATATATATATATATATATATATATATATATGTATATATATATATATGTATATATATGCGCAAGAGAGAAGAAAGGAAGAAAGAGAAAGAAATTGTAGCTCAGTTTCCAATCCCACTCCCTATACGCTGGATATAATTTTCAAATGGGCTCAACTCAAAATTAACGACATTAACGATTGTAGAATATGGGACGGATTTCTGTTGTCATTTTCGCAATTTTATTCCTTATTTTTGCTTAATGGGCCCTTAGTATCTATGTATTCATTTGGTCATTTCCTTGAAATCAAAGAGTGTTAACACACGAACTAATTATTACCTAATGTTAAGTATGTTGGAGAAAGTGAACGAGCCGTACGAACAGTATTCCAAAGAGCTCGTGACTCATCGCCATGTATTATATTTTTTGACGAAATCGATGCCTTATGCCCAAAGCGGTCTCAAAATGAGGTGAGTTTGTCTATCTCGTTTTTTTACGCGTAATTAGGACCCTAACATTCAAGTGCACATCACTCTGTTTCTGGTCTGAACACCATGTGAATCATGTTAACTTTTTCTTGATAGGAAGCAAAGGTTACCGCCTGGATTAGATAAAATTCTATAGATGAGAGCAGCAGCATATGCTTCCGTTCTTGAAATACTTTTGTTAGGCGTAGAAGCTGCATTAGTTACAGATATCTTGCTCTAATCCGCAGGTCTTCTTCAGTTTTCTTATGAAACGGCAATTTTGATAAATACGTTCAGGGCTCTACTTCACTCAGTATTCATTAAAACTTGGTGCCAGATAAAGTTTTCGGGTTTTATTGTTTTCTAGATGTGTTTTACACTAAAATTTACTGGGCGGTTACTGTAACGCTTTCAATATATTAAATAAATCCGGCAGTTTTACCTTTAGTACTTTCTTTTCTCAGTCAAAAATCTGGCAAATCAATCAGATCTAACCCCTCAAAAAACTTCTTATCCAGATTGCGCCAATCCTCAAAAACTCTTGTTGGAAGTATCGCTTGTTATGTGTAACCAATTGATAGTAAAATTAGAAGAAGAATATCGCTTCGAAAGTCATTGTTATATTTCACAATTTAGTCGTCTGGCAGTGCACGTCTGGTGAATCAGTTGCTTACCGAAATGGATGGTATCGAGATGCGGAAGCAGGTTTTCCTCATAGGCGCCACAAATAGACCAGGTTGCTTCGTTACTGAGTAGTTTCTTACGTTTTGTTCCATTTGGGATGTGGTGAAACGTTCCTAGTGGATGCCATTAAACACGTAATGAATATCGTATTTCATGCTTGTGAATAGATTTTTATAGACATTGTTGATTCGGCAATTTTGCGTCCAGGAAGACTCGATAAGATTCTTTTTGTTGATTTTCCATCACCTAGCGATCGAGCTGATATTTTGAGGAAAAGCACGAAGGTATTTCGTTTCTCCGATTGTATTACTGAAATTTATCTGGGAGAGTTCTAGTTTTGCAACCGTTGTGGTCTTAAAGTAACCAGTGTAACCAGTATGTACTGTGGTCGCTGCTAAAGTTGTTGTAATTGTTAGCAACTTTTCTATATCCTCTTACCGATATTTACTGTCATCACAAAATTAAGCGTTTGGGTGTTTTTGACAAATTTGCACCCTTTATGGTTTTTTCGACACTTCAGCATTTCTTGAAAACTTTTGAGAACATAGTAGACTTTTGTACGGGCTTTGCTCGACCGATGCAAGTATTCGCAGTTTTCTTAAAAACGCTTTGGTTTCAAATCTCAGAATTCTTAAAACTGTAGTTTAGGAATTTTAATATAGTAAACAGTCTTAGAAATTCTTAACACAAGAGGGTTACCCACACCGACAACGCACCTTGGAATTCCATATCTTTCCTAATGCATTTACTCGTGTTTGTTCTGTTATCTGCACGAGGTAAATGTTTCGATGGTAAAATGCGGAAAAGGATTTAAAGATTCCAGAAATTCTATTCCATCATGGGTGAATGAGAAAGTTCATACCTTGTTGGCAGAGATTTTTACACGTTCTAATAATTCTTCTTTTCACTTACTTGAATACTTGGATGGCCTGTCTTCACTGGTTATATGGGCGCCAGCATAATCTTCATTTTTTTCGAGTTTTGCTGCTCTAGCCACTGTGGTTCGTCATAGTTCCGAGCTCATCCTGGCCAAAGTGGGCCCTAGATCGTCACCACAGGCAGTCGCCGCCTTTGTGGATTATAGCGAGATTTGCCACCATGCGACTAGTTTCATACCAGGACGGTGGTGGATCCTGACATCGATTTACTTTTAGCTAGGCTTCCTGATGGAAACTCCGGAGTCCTTCTCAGCTTGGGAGACCCTGCCTGTGGAATGAATCTTCCCTCTGTACGTGGCAGCCCAGGGACACCTCCCATCCACGGTTAGGCAGTAAACCGTTGAAGCTTTTTTTCGCTTTTTCCACAAGTATTAATTAGTAGTTAAGATATCTTTTCTTTTAAGTTGAGTGAGCTAATTATTCTTGACACACTCTGCATGTAATATATGACTGTTCTTATCGCAGATTCGCAAGTAGTAGTCGAGGGGCACTTGTAGCGTTGTGGTCAAAGGTGTCCTGCGATACACACGTGGTCTTTGGTTCTATCCTGACCCTCTTGTTCACCAAATCTTTTATTTCGCGTATTTATCTGGAAGGATAGCAGTGACTCGAAACGTTGCATTGATAGGCAACCGCGATTCATTGTATAGACAAGATATGCAATCAGTCACCTCCAACAGTGCTTAATCAAGCATGTATGGCGTATCTCTTAGGGGTTGATCAACGCCCTACACTTTATCCCTTAATCTTTTCTAAGCGCTAGTCTAGCAAATTTCTAGGAATTTCTCCTCAATATGTTAGTATTATCAGGACTCGAGTTTACCACCTTTTCTGATATTCGCTCGTTGTTTTCAGAACGGCACCCATCCAAAAATAAGCAGCAGTGTCGACCTTGATAAATTGGCACATCTGCCAGAATTGGATGGATTCACGTTGGTTTTTTCTTTACATACATACCATGAATTTTTAGTGATTGATTTCCAATAATATTTGTCTTGATGTGTAGAGCAGTATTTGTCAAAACGTAATTCAGTGGTGCCGATTTGGCTGCTCTTGTTCATGAAGCGTCAATTATCGCGTTAAAAGCACGTCTGTTCTCCAATGATGTCACTGTAGACGCAGTTGATATGGCTCATTTTTTCAAGGCCATACAAAACATTCGGCCATCCGTTAGTGAATCGGATCGCAAGAAGTATATAAGGATGAAGGAGATCTACAGTGCTAAAAGACATTGTGATGTTAATTCAACTGAAAACTGATTACATCTTAGATTTTATCTGTATAGCCAAAAGAAAGCTCTGGAGAACGTATAAATTCGTTGGATATCTTTGACCTTAAATTGCGTTAACTAGTCCTAGATTTATCTATATGTTCACATGTATTTCCCTCTCTCTTAAATGATTGGTAACATTTCAGCAATTTCTATATTTGTTCATAGAGAGTGGGATATAATCGTAGCAACTCTTAAGAATTTTATTCCTTTTTTGAGATTCCTTTCAGAGCAGTGATGCAAAATTGTAACTCTCATATGTGTTGGTCATAAGTGAGAGGTTCTTTTAGTTTACCCAATTTTTCATCCTGCGTTGTTAGTTTCTTCTTCATCATTCCTGATATTTGGAGGATATGATTGTTATTTTTACGTCTTATAGTCGTTTTCTGTTTTTGTTCACTATGATCTTGTTTGAGGATAAAGTTTATTGTTGTAATAGTGTTACTGGATATTCTACTTTGGTGAAGTATGCCGTTTCCTAGTATCTATAGACCTCTGATTATGTATCCATTTGGGTTTCGGAGTGGGTGCACAGCGTTTTTGTGCGACGTTCGATCGGTTTTGTTTCCATAGTCCATGGTGTTTTAGGGCAGCAGCGTTCACCATATGCAGAGTGAGTCATGACATCATGGCAACCAAATCAGGAGGAGCTTACACAGGTAGAATAGGCGTCTGCGTTCATGCTAGGTTCCTCTCTCTGAGGATATGGATTTGATTGTTTATTCTTAGTTCCTAGCTAGTACTAAAGTTCTAAGTGTAGCAAATACATATCAGAAAACGGAAAACCATCTTCATACGAAATGGGAGTTATGGAGTTCTTAAGAAATAAAAATAAAAGGTCTCATTAGGAATTTTAATTTCTAGTTTCTCTTGTTTTCCATTCAGCATGAGAACTGTCCTTTGAGGTTAGGTTAGTGTTTGGAAACGTTTATCAGGGCATTAAATGTCTCATAACAGCTTTCATAATAGTAAGTACTGTGCAGTTCGTTGTTCAAATAGTTCATTGTTACTAGCTAGGATTTATAAGAGCCTAAAAGGGAACGTTGGAAATCAGCTTCTGCTTTCCATAACTCGTTCTAGTTTATTCTCTGGTATTTGCTCAAGAAGTGCTCATTGTGTTGAGACGATGGAAAAATTTCAACTTTCGTTTGCTATTTCTATTCGTAATAATCAGGACCCAGTGTGAACTACTTGTAAGCAGTACTCTGGCGTTCTTTGGTTCTGTCGTTTTGATTTTCCTATCGCAGGTTCTGCATTTGCTCCACCATTCCCAGTCCACGGATACTGTGGTTCAGCGGAGTGTGCAGCAACAGTTGGATATGCTCAATGGTCATCAGTTTTTTTGTTGTTATCTTGTACATATCCTAAGTGGTATGAAGGAAGAACAGGTGATTTTTCTTGGATGTTACCTCTTGTTATTCTTGAACTCTATGTGGCAATGTTTATGCTGTGGGTTGTTTTTATTTATTGATATAGGACATCTATTATCCCAGCAAGGAGCGATTATCTCTGTTAAAAAGTTTTTGGAATGCAGCGTTTTTTCTATAATGTTCCACACGCGAGAATCTTAAGAAACTTTGTCGATACTAAACAGCACATTACTTTTGGATAAAAACTAAGTGACTTAGCGCACCGCATTTTCTAAACTCCATGCTATTTTTCGTGTATAATGAGTTTCCTCCCAACGGTTCCCCACCTCATCGTGGCTGAGAGGTGTCCATGAGTGTCGGACTGCGATGCATACCAAGGGGATTCATCTCTCTGTCAGGGTCTCCCAAGCTGAGAAGGAGTCCGGCGTTTTCATCAGGAAGCCTAGCTAAGGGTAAACCAATACCAAGATCCACCATCATCCTGGTATCAAAGTCGCATGGTGGCAAATCTCCTGATCCACAAGGGCGGCGCCTCTCTGTGGTGGTAACGACCTGGGGCAGACTTTGACTAGGCTGACCTCGGGACTTCAGGTAACCACAGTGGCTTAACCAGCAAATCTCCGAAAAGTGGAAACTATACTGGGACCCGCATAATCATTGAAGATGGGCCATGTAAATATCCAAGTATAGTGAGTTTAATTTCTCATCATCATTTCGAAGTTTTGCTATACGATAGATTAAAGCGGCGGTAACTGATATGTCTTCGTTTTTCTTCTTAGGGAAAACAATTAATTTTGATTAGTACACTGCACAACTTTAACGAAGCTAGCCAGACGAGGAGGAAATGCAAGCGAGTATGGGTAGCCTGCTAATTTTTATTTTACGCATTTACGGGTGTAACGGTTTTTCGGCAGGTTCCATCAATTTTTCGTTAGTTACTGTGTTTTACTGACGGCTTGACGTACTGGATTTCTCATTGAACTTCTTTTGAATTTAGAGTATGCAGAAGAAGCAAATCATCGGTTTCATAAAGTCAGCCTAGTCATCGTAGAGTACGAAAGCTTAGCAATGATAAGATGATTCTTATTTCAACTGCCAGAATTATTACGGCTGACGTACGTTTTTTGAGAACATAACAGAGCATATGCGTTGAATACAATGCATTTTGAGCTTTTAATCATCGTGTCTCAGTCTATATTAAACTTTATTAACTGGTGTAGAAATCGTTTCTTCGTTTTGAGTACGCAGAAAAATATAAGTTTTTGGCTTTACGGCGACTTTTCCCCGATTTTTGGGTGTCAAATTACAAAACATAGTAGTTCTTAGACGAGAATCGTATTTCGAATATCGAAAAGATTGAACAGTGTGGATTTGTAGAACACGGAGCTATCATGTTCCTGAATCTGCTCTCGATATTTGCAGCTGTTGTGATAATGCTGGCAATTTATAAATTCGAATTTTGCTCTCCGTTTTTTCTGTAAATTTGGGCTTCAAACGTTTTTAAAAGTTGGAAAAAATCATTTTATCAAAACTTTACATGCTCACAAGGCGGTAGAGCAATCCCTTTTCCATAAATTAATCACGTGAAACCGATCCCCGCCCCTATGGCCCACCAGGCCTTCCATTCCTCCGGAGTTGGCAAATTTGTACCAGACTTCTCTGTGAGGATAGAAGCACTAGGTTGATGCATCATCGGTAAGCCACCGCGAATCATTGTAAAGGCCAGATATGCATTCAATCACTTCCAAACGATGCTTAATAAAGTCGAATGCATGGCGCTTCCCCGAAGGCAATATACCAACGCCGATAGCTTTATTCTTTTTTTTTTATCAAGAAGTCTTCCATTGTTATGTTGAAATCGAAATTCTAAATCCGACCATTCTACGATTCATAACTTCTATATAATTATTGCAGAGTACCAAATTTATTGTCGGACACTGTCCAAGTGAATGATCGACGCTGTGATTGTGTCATCTGTCTAATGAGAGAATTTTTGAAGCAATTTAGTATATACCCTGAAAGTGTTGCGTTAATAATCGTCAACCCAAATAACGCGATTTCATCACAAGTGGGAGGGGAGAGAGAGTGTGGGGGTTGGCATGATCTGTATAGATGGACTGAGCTGAACGATTAGTCGGTTACAAAACTAGCAGGGCATCCTGTAATGCCGTTATTTTTTATTTTTTGCAGTTTGTTTTATTTTCCGTGCACTTTTTCAAGCAGTTTTGTTTCTGAATCCAAAAATATCAGTTTTAGGAGGCGAGCAGGTCTCTTGCTGGCTTGATATTGAAGAATAATGTCCGCTCTCAGTGGTCTAAATACCCAGACGAAGTGCGACAATTTGTGAGGACGAATACATTGGCAAGTATAGGTGATCCAAGTCCGTTGATCCGTGCTACTGTTGGTATTATAAGTAAGTCTAGTATTTTTTCTTATATTTGAAGATAGGTTTTTATTTAGCATTCATTCCTTTTTTGTCTTTAGAGACATTTTTTGGGTGCTTTATATTGCGACCATACTTTTTTGCAGTTACAACGATAGTAGTGGAAGAAGGTGGTGTTGGTCAGTGGTCAACATTGTTACCATATTTAGGTCATCTCTTAGATCAACCAGATCTTAATCTGCAGGAGGTGAATAGGTGCTTAAGAATAGATCGTTAAGTAGACTTATTAGTTTGTATTAGAATTTATTTCTGCGAATTTTTTTTATATATGTCGTCTTTCAAAATTCTGCGGTATCTACTTAATTTTACAATATTAGCTTCATTTTTTTAGTTCGATTTCTTACAGTGAGTACAGGTAATCATAATTAAAATCGCTTCTAAGTTATTGCGGGACATATTTGCACTATCTGTTTCGAGAACATTTTCTATAAGGCGTAATTCATTACAATGTAAGGAATAAATATTTTCAGGGTTCATTGGGTGCTATTCAGAAGATTTTCGAAGATTCTGGAGAACGATTAGATCCTGAACGACATGTGCATCCAATAATGCCAAAAATTTTGTCGTTTTTCTGCTCAGAAAGTGCCAAAATGAGGTTTGTGTGTGCCTTTTAACGCAAAGTTTCTTGCGAGGCTTTCTTCCACTACTATTTATTCCCGTCTTTAACCCTATCACTATTACTTTTATAGAGGTTTGGCTATGAACTCAGTGAACAGTATTCTAATGATCAACAACGACCCAATTAGTGTGGTGATTGACGACTTCTTACAACAGTTGTTTGGACGTGCACATGATCAAGAACCAGTACGTAACTGTCCTTAATAGCAACTAGTGTTTTAAAAACTAACGACATATATGTGGATGGATTTAGGTGAAGTAGTTTTTAGGAAGTTCAAAAACAACTGTGTCGGTCGCTCACACTCTTGCTTGATAGTCACTTCGACAAGTTAGCACCCCATTTGCCTAACGTTATTGACTACATAATCATGAAAACGCAGGTTAGAGATTTTTTTACCTTAAATTGTGTAGCTTTCTGTAAAAGTTCTGTAAAAAAAATTTCTGTCGATATTATTTGGGCGTTTATGTTTTAGTTTTTCGATTTCACTCCATTACTTTTATTTTGCTAGCTTAATCGAATGTGCTTAAGTTTTTAGGATGTGAACGAGAATATTGCTGTAGAGGCTTGCGAGTTCTGGTTGTCATTAGCAGAGAATTCTGACGTATGCAAGGAGTTACTATCACCCTTTCTCGGGAAGCTTGTGCCCGTACTTATCAAGTGTATGCGTTATTCGGAAAGTGATATAGTTGCGCTTAAGGTAGTGTTTCAGTGCAAACTCAACACTTTTTTTATGAAAACGGTTTTAAAGTTTTATCAAATTATTTAAGGGTAACTGTGACGAGGAAGATTCTATGGTGCCAGATCGAGATGAGGATATAAAACCACGTTTTCATAAGTCCAAAGTCGCAGCTGGTCAGGTAAATGGCGAGGTAAGGTGAAGGGGAATATTCCATCAAATTCACAAAATTGCTGAACCTATAAGGGCACATCTATAGGCAGGAGGAAGCATCGAACCAGTTTTTTCCTCACATTTTGGGAAATCTGATGTAGTTTGCTTTGTTTTCAGCATATCTAATTTTTTACACTTCTTTTTTAAGCTTTAATTTGAATCAAGGTTTATTTTACCTGAAAGTTCACAAACCTTTAGAGAACCAAGCAGCTGTCGAAAAATAGCAATGGTTTATTAACCCTTTCGAGGCGTGAGTAATTCTAGCTCATGGGTGATGTGGGTGTGGTTAGAATACCCGTTACGAATTTGCTATCATTTATTTCCTTTATGATTTACTTTGGAGCTCTCACTGTCTGTTCATTAAATTCCTGCTCCCCGCAAATGCTTTGGGTGTTGGGTGGGAAGCTCATTTCTAAATTCATAATTCTAGCTTATTATTTAGTGCCTACTCTTTTTAATGACAGGGTATATATTGCGAAATATAACTTTAATGATACTTAGATATTAAATCTATAGTTTATTATTTTTGTGTATTTATTTAATTCTAAATTTATAATTAAAAAAGGCTTTTTCTTCCCAATCTGCCGCAGAAGTTTTAATACGAAGAGCAATTGCTTTGCCTTTCCGTCAGCCTGTTTTCTCCACTAATGGTGCTACCAGCAATCACCCCATCAGTGGGTGTTTTATTTCACATATTATCCTCCCTTGAAGAGATATTAGGAGTCAATAAAAGTTAAATATTGTGATTTCGACTGCAGTTTCATTTTAACAAGGTTCGGTGCTGATTTTTGCTCCTCAGATCATTATCTTTGACGGGTAATTGCTGGAAACAGCGTTAGGGTAAAAACAAAACTGGTTGGAATAAGGGCAAGGCAAGGGCTTCGGTTGGTGTAATAAATAATACGTGAGCTCCAGGAAAGTTAGTAGGAAACTCATCTGCGGTTCCGTATTTTTTTTATATCTCAGTATCGTTATGGTTATATTGGCATAATTAGGAATCGAAGGGGCGGAATGTATACTTACTTGGGTACTCGGATGCCCCATATTCACTGGTTGTGCGCGCAGCAGCATAATTTTCATTTTTTTCGGAGTTTTGCTGGCTTAGCCATTGTGGTTCTCCCTGGAGTTTCGAGGTTGACCTGGCCAAACTCTGCCCCAGGCTGGCTTTCCCGATGGAAACGTCGGACTCTTTCCCAGCTTGCGAGACCCTGCTATGGAGATGAATCCTTCCGTTGTACAGCGTAGCGCAATGCCCAGGAACACCTCCCAACCACGATGAGGCGGTAAACCTTTGGAAAGAGAATGTAGTAGGGTTTGAAATTCGCTATTATCTCACCCGTATAATGTAATCTTTTCAATCTTATACCAAACACAGCTAAACAAAGGTGGCAGTCTCATTTTCTGAGGGAATAATCGTAGTACACGATGCGCGATATTCCTTCGCTTCAGTTCATAGTGCTTGCGAAGGAAAATTAGGCCCTTTCTGTACAATAACACATTTGTTTAAAAGTTACAAAAACATGAAGTTAACCTCGAAACAAATTTTTTAGTTAACTGCCATTTCTTTACAAACTTTCCTTATAAGCGAACGTTTAGGATAACGAAGATGATGGCGGCGATGAAACTTATGCGGAGTGGAACATTCGTGAGTTATCTCATGCTATATGCAGATACATATACACATATATAGGCGAGTATGTTCAATGATGTCGTTGTAGGAAGATGTTCCGCGGCATCATTAGATGTATTGGCATCAATATTTAAGCAAGAATTATTGCCTATACTGCTTCCAATTCTCAAGGAAGCTCTTTGTCACTCGGAATGGGAAGTGAGTGCGCTATTGTAAGCCTTGGTAGTGTTTAGGTTCAGTAGTGTAGACTATGACAATTTTTATAAAGGTAGACTTTATATAAAGCAATGTTTAGTTCCCCACTAAATCCTCAAATAACTTAGTTATCGATAAGTGTTCTTTCTTTCTTCGTTTGTCGAAAAACTAGCGTGTAATGCATTGAAGTCATCATAATGTTCGAAAGTTTTCTCGCTTTCAGATAAAGGAATCAGGGATTCTGGCTCTGGGTGCTGTTGCTGAAGGTTGCATGAGTGGAATTACACCTCACCTTCATGAACTCATTCCATTCCTGCTGAGTATGCTAAACGACAAAAAACCGCTTGTCCGGTATAGATTTTGAAGGTCTTGTTCTAGTTTTCTTTTCTAAGATCTTTGTTTCAGGTCTATCACATGTTGGACACTTTCGCGGTATTGTTCTTGGGTGGTGGATGAAGCACGTGATCAGTATTTTGAACCAACTTTGAAAGGAGTATGTAGACAAAAGCCGTTTTTGCGATATTTAGAGAATACCATTTTTCAAAACCACCATTTTCATTTTTTTTTCTGAGGCCTAAAATCTTAACTCAGTAGTAATTTTCAGCTTCTTGTTCGAGTTTTGGATGGTAATAAACGAGTACAAGAAGCCGCGTGTAGTGCTTTTGCCACTGTTGAGGAGGAAGGGGCAGATTTTATCGCACCATATCTTTCAGATATTTTACAAACTCTTGTTCAGGCGTTCAGCATCTATCAGGTAATCATTTCACTCCCAGCAGTTTGAAATTTGTTGCACCTTTTGTTGCTTTTTAAATTGCGGAGATCAAAACTACTTTATGTAAGCGAAGAATGTTCTCACGACTTCTACTGACCGCTAACCTTCTGCTTGTTAAATCGTAGTTATCCCTTGAATACTTTTACGATTTAGGCTAAAAATTTGCTGATTTTATACGATGCGGTCGGGACGTTGGCAAATTCTGTGGGTAACGCCTTAAGTCAACCCGTTTATGTCCAAGTGCTAATGCCTCCGCTGATGGAAAAGTGGCAACGACTTGGAAATGATGACAAAGTATATTTCTCTAGTATATGATCGAGATTTTTTTTTGACATTAATGCATGCTGAGACCTCTATGCTACTAAATATTCAGGAACTTTTCCCACTTCTAGAATGCGTGTCTTCGGTTGCATCTGCTATGGGTATCTCTTTTCTGCCGTATTGTGAACCTGTTTATAATAGGTTTGGTGTATTTGTTTTAGTTGCTATTTGTTTCTTAAATTTTTTTCCATGAGCCACTTCTAGGTGTATCATCTTGATTACGCAATCGTTGCGTCAATCCGTCGAAGCGCAACAGCGACCGAATGAAGTAGAAATGCCAGATAAAGTGAGCGACACCGTTGCACTCTTCTGAATTTGTTCTCTTTTTTCTTGTGAAATTCATACCACGTTATTTAGGATTATTTGATCGTTGCACTCGATCTTCTATCAGGACTTGCAGAGAGTTTAGGTGCTCATATTGATCCTCTAATAGGTCGAAATGAAGTGTTACAATTGTTATCTCTTTGCGCGGTGGTTAGTTTTGTAAGAACTTGATGAATTTATTGGTTTACTTTATTAATACTCCGTTTCTCCCAACGGTTTACTGCCTCATCGTGGCAGGGAGGTGTTCCTGGGTGTCGGGCTGCTATATAGAGCAGAGGGGTATATCACCCCGGCAGGATCTCCCAAGGTGAAAAGGCGTCCGGATTTCCAGCAGGAAGTCCAGCTAAGAGTAAACCAGTATCAGGGTCCGTCGCCGTCCTGCTATCAAACTAGTCACATGATGGCAAATCTCCCTTTGATCCACAGCGGCAGCGACAGCCTGTGGTGGTGACGACCTTGGGCAGACTTTGGCCATGATGACCTCGTCACTCCAGGGAAACATAATAGCTTAACCAGTAAATCTCCATCAAATGGAGAATATGCTGTGGCCCGCACAACCAGTGAGGACGGGTTTTCGAAGTATCGAAGTAGGAAGTAATACTCTGTTGATTTCTAGAAAAGTTTAGCTCTATTGTACCGCAATGCACCTTGCCATTCATTTTATATGATTTTGAGTTATTGCATAGGTAGAATTTTATAAAGTTTTGCTCAGGATCCTACTGCAGAAGTTCGTCAAAGCAGTTTTGCATTACTTGGCGATCTCACTAAAGCATGTTGGCATCATATAAAGCCTTACACTCGTTAGTCAATCTTGTTATCCTTTACAGACGTTTTTGAAAGATTTCTATTTTTTAGTCGTTTTTAAAGGATTTTAGTGCCTATTCATGAACAAGACAACATCTATAAGATCTACAAAGTTTCAGAGACGTTCATTCCCATTTTGGCTATGAATTTTGATCCATCGCACATTTCTGTTTGTAACAACGCAATTTGGGCGTTTGGTGAGGTACGTCATCATAATTTGTCGTGTGAGCTGGATCCTACACTTTTTAAGGTTTTGTTGAGGCAATCTTCTTTATAGATGTCGCTTAAAATGGGTGTGGAAATGAAGCAGTATGTGCTATCTGTTTTGCCTCATCTTATACGGGTCATGAATCAAAAAGACGGGCAGCGTACTTTGTTGGAGAACACCGGTGAATGTGTTGTCTATTTTTTATGGTTATCTCTGCACTGTTGTGCGAAGTGTTTCTTTTTGAGTACAACCACACATGCTTGAAATTAGAGGTTTCGGTTAAACTTCTGACTTAGAATGCACTTATTTCTAATCTGTACAGCTATAACAATTGGGCGCTTGGGAATTTACTGTGCTGAGGAAGTTGCTCCACATTTGGTAACATTTATACGACCGGCCTGCTTCAGCCTGAGAAACATCAGAGATAATGCGGAGAAAGAGAGCGCATTTCGTGGAATTTGCTATATGATAAATCTGAATCCGTCAGGAGTAGTCAACGTGAGTGCTCGTTTTCTACTTTGTTGCTTAAGGTACAATATTGTTGAAAAAACTATTCGTTTATATACCTGTGATTGTTTAACCATAACATTCACCTATGATTTCATGTTCAGGATTTTGTGTTTCTGTGTGACGCCATAGCTTCTTGGTCTACACCAAAGCCTGAACTGAAGGAGATGTTCTCTAGAGTGAGTGACATGTTGCATTTTGTTTAAAAATCTAATGCAATGGATCCAGATCGGTGACGGTTAGTTATGGTTCTATCAACACTTTTTCAACGGTTTCTTGTTGAAGTCCCTTGGTAGTTGTGAGGTCTATTCCATTTATCATGTTAAGAGAACTTTTTTTGCTGTTTCAGCAAGAAGAAAGAAAATCAGTTTAACTTTATTCTGTTTCATTTAATTATTTTCAAAATTGTCACTTTACCTCCTAACGGTTTACCACCACATCGTGGCTGGCAGGTTCCTGGGTGTTGGACTGCGATGTACAGTGGGGGGATAATACCAGGATCCGCCACCGTCCTGGTATCAAAGTCGCATGTTGGCAAATCTCCCTCTGATCCACATGGGCTGCAACTGCCTGTGGTGGTAAAGACCTGAGGCAGACTTTGGCGAGGCTGACCTCGAAATTCCAGGGAACTACAATGGCTTAACCAGCAAATCTCCGAAAAATGGAGAGTATGCTGGAACCCGCACAACCAGTGAGGACGGATCGTTCAAGTATGAAGTAACTAAGTATTGTTGCTTTAACTCAGTTGCAGTGGTCTTTATTTCTTTGTTTGGCCTCATAGGAAAGTGGTTTTTCACCACGCAATGTGCACGCTGGATCCCGTACTCACGGTCGTCCATTCAAAGCTGCAATGCTGCTTTTCGTTTTTTTTTTTCCGTTTAACTTGGTTTTTCTATAACTCTTGTCATTTTATATTTTCTAAGTTTTTTTTTGATACATATGCGTATATAAAATCATGTTTCGTCACATATGTTTTACTCTACATTCCTTTATATTTTTATATGTTTTTCTATGTACTTAAATCGTTTTCATTTTTTGCGTGGGATGATGAAACCTCGTTCAGAATGCAGCCACCCTTTACTACTTGGCTTCCCAAAAAATGCTGAGTGCAACCACAAAGATGTTGAGATACGAGCAAAACTCGTAATCTTAGATGGGTTTCGAACATGGATTACACTTACGAGAAGCTCATATGCTACCCACCACATCAATCGAGGACCATGCTTTGCCTTTCTATCAGCCGTATTTTTACTCCAACCTTCCTGAGAGAAAGTGTTTTGGTCATGTCCCAGCATTCTTGTAGTTGTGCTTCACATTATAGCCTACCATGAAAAGGAATAGAGCGGTGGAAAAGAAGTTAACATTACGCTAAGTATATGCCAGTATTTTTACGGCTTATCAAAAATTGGTTTTTTTGTGCTTTCATCATGTCGATGAAATATGAATTAAACTTGGTTTTCAACGGTCTGTTCACCTAACGGGAATAATGGTAGAACAACTCCGAAAACAATAACGAATCACTTTAGCTTTATATGAAAACGCCTTGAATGCGGGATAACAAAGAGAATGGTGGTGATGTCATTTATAAGTAGTCAGGTCACCTATATCACCTGTATTCCCGTTGGTCGTCCAGTGACTCTAGTGGGCGCCAGTAAATCTTCCATTTTTTCCTGACGCGTGCAAGAGAAGCCTTGTGGGTTCTGCTCGCTTTAGGGACTCGTCGAGCATTATATCTTTCTTCAAGTCTTTGTGAAGAACTCTGGCCATCGGGTCGGTGTTCTTCCTGTAGTACGTTTGACATCCCGAGGAATCCAGTCACTAACGGCTCCTGTCCATCGGTTGTCATTCATACACATTACGTATCCGGCCCACCTTATCTTCGACTGCTTGGCGTACAGAACGGCATCTTTGATTTTTGATCGTTGACGCAGATCGGATCTTCATATCCCATCCCTTACTTGTGTGGAACGGGATACTCCTAGCATCGCCCTTTCGACTGCGCGTTCGATAACGCTGAGTGATCCTTTGTCCTGCTTACGCAGCGACCAGGTTTCTGACGCATGCGTTAGGGCAGGAAGGATCGTTTAGTCGAAAAGGTGGGCGTAGAGTCGGGTGTTTTTGTTCTCTTCATTCTCGGTGCTCTTGAAAGCTCCCCAAGGCGCTCGTTTTCTTCTGCTCAGCTCTGGAGCTGGGTCGTTCATCATATTGATTTCCCGACCTAAATAGATATAACTGGAGCATTCGGAGATAATCATTCCGTTGAGTGTGAATGGGGCATGCGAAACCAATCCGTTCTTCACGAACATCGTTTTTGTGAGATTTAGTCGAAGATCAATCTCTCCTCAGGTTTTATCAAAGTCGTCAAACATACGTTCCGTTTGGCTAATGTTTGGTGTTATTAGGACGATGTCATCAGCAAAGCGAAGATAGTGTAACCGCCTCGCCTTTCCTAACTCCTCTTTTGGCGTCAATCTTAATATCGTTGTAGAATGGTGATATCTTGGTTGTGAAGTTTTTGTACAGCTCACGAAGAATCTTTATGTACTGAGTAGGGATTCCTTGACTATCATGGGCTTCTAGGACAGCTTCTATCTCAACTGAATCAAAGGCCTTCTGTAAATCGATGAAAGCGTGACAGAGCGGTCTTTTGTACTCTCGCGATACTTCAATGAGCCGTGTTACCGTGTGGATGTGGTCCATCGTACTAAATCCTCTTCGAATTCCTGCTTGCTCACATGGCTGTCCTTCGTCTAGTGTTCTGTAAAACCTGTTTAGGATGACTCGAGTGAAATGTTTGTAGACGACAGAGAGTAAGCAGATTGGGCGATAGTTGCCGATATCGTGTAGGTCACCTATCTTGAACTATAACACGTATCCTCGCGACTTACCGGCCCGAGATCGCTCATATGAGGGAGATCCTCATATAAGGTATATCATAATATCATCGGTGTGAAGCCGTTTTATACAACAGATTCTGCCTTATGAGACAAAATGGTCAACCATGATAAGTACATCAAAATCAATGCGCATCGTTGAAAATGTGTTAGCCATTCACTTGATGCTCTCCTTATATCACTGTGTTTAAGTAAATCAATGTGAAGCTGCTTGTTTTTCGATAACCTTACGCGATGCTGTCATGAAAGTAATGTTGTCGAGGTGTCATTATCAGTATGTTGTTCGAGTGGTTATTACGACACATGACAGCCGTATTCTTTCAGATTCTTAATGGATTCCGCTCACAGGTTGGAATTGAGAACTGGACGGCTTTTACCGCACAGTTTCCGCCTCCATTAAGAGAACGTCTTGCAGCTCAGTACGACGTTTAGTTAACAGCGGATTGGCACAAGTTCTCTCTTTTATGTATGCTCTAATACCGCTTAGCACGGATTATTTTTTATAGTGTGCCTTTGCAACATCTTTATTGTATTTTTGTTTCATAAGTGTGCCCTTCATAGTATTTATTTCGCATGGTTTGCACAGTGGTTAGGGAATACCAGTAGACTGCCAACCATTTGTTCAGTGGGTTCACAGAGCCATTGGTGGTTCCGTTGAATTTGAAATTTGTGGTGTACGATCTGAATTTTTTTTCTCCTGAATCGTGCATCTTCATTCTTTTCATGTTGTACGGTACCCTAAGCGAGTTTTATATTCATCTTTGTACATCGTGTTTTTGTTACCAGTCTCTTGTTCGATGTGGATACCGCCCTTCATCTTAACTGGTGTGTAACGTCAATCTAGATGGTTTTATTCAGTTACTATATCACCGCAAACTCTAGTATTTCTTCAAGAGTATGGAACTGGCTTTCTCTTTCTAGTCATGTTTGGTCCTGGCCGTATCCATTGTGCTTTGTTATCGTCGTCTTTGTTATATGTTTGTCGTTTATATCAACTTTATATTTTATATTTTTATGTTTACCGCGTTTTTTAAGATCCATCTGAGTGTGGACATACGGTTGTTGTCTATATCCCTGCATTATTGTGGGGTTGTGATCCTGTTGGCTCCTCGTAAGAGTTACTGGTCGCTGTAACGCGCGCGTCAACGGGTTCATGTGATGGAAGCGAGCGTGGTGGAACCTATATAACCGGTAGATATCAACTTTCGGGTATGTTGAAGAGAATGTTTCCGACAGTGAACGTCGGTTTTGTTCTTAGTTAATGATTTCTGCCAGTTCGTATCTATGCGCATGTATAACACCATGTTACTTTGTGCTGCATTCCTAGTGATAGTAGTTTAATGTAGTAACAGTGCTTTCCATTTTGTTTATGTTATTCATGTCCCTGGTCCCGTCGTCTTGAGTGTTTATGTGAAATTTCGTGCCCTTCTTGTTTTTGTTCTCAGTCCGTCGTCCCAGTCCCATGTGTGCATGTTTGTCCGTACGTCCGATCTCTGGTGCTCTCTCTGATCCATCTTTCACTTGTTGTATATTTATATGTTTACTTCCAACACTTTGAATCCTCTTATTGCTACGTGCTTGTGCTTCTTCTTCCTTCTACTCCATAAATAATTGCAGTTTTTGGAATAGAAAAAGCTTAATACGGTTTGTAGTTGTGGTATATAACAAGTTCTGTGCCCTCCTATTTGTATGTGAACACAATGCCATTATTTGTCAATGGAAAATATGTGATTGGTGTTCAGTACGCCTAAGTGACCCATTTTCCATATTGTAGATGATTCCCGTTCCTCGTGTGTATCTGTCTGTTGGTTCCAGAGACCAAATAATTAAGGAACTTTGTGTGAGAAATGAGTTGTTAATAAGCCTGGGTTCTACGAGGCCTTTGCTTCCTGTGGGTCGATTTTTTGCTCGATAAACCTTATACATTATGTATCGATATGTTCGTACTTTTGAGAGAACGAGAGCGTACGTTAGAAGTCCGCTTTTGCAATTGTCTAGACGACCAGTTGTTTCATTCTTTTTGGACTGGATGCATTGGATTTTTTTGTTAAGCTGGATTTTAAGCAGTTACTCCAACTTCGGATACATGGGTGATGTTTTTGATTAATAAATAGTTTGGTTCAATACCTACCACGAGGATGCGGATAGCGCACAGTAGTAATGATGGCGGTTATCATGGTCCGTGTTCGATCTCGCTCCAAGAGCATAAAGCCGCTCATCCTTCTAAGGTCTGGAAATAGGTTCCGGACCTGTCCGGAAAAAAGTTACGCTTTGCTTTCTAAGTGGGAACGCTCTAGCCCGGCTCAGGATTCGAAGTAGAATCAACTCGACCAGCATTCTACGACATCCAAGTTGAAATGAAAAACCTCAACCAGCACCCGAAAGCAAAGTCGATTTGGAAGACCTTCGTGGACGATGGATGCGAGGAAACGAATTGAATCTGAGGAGTGCTTTGATCCGTATAACAGATGTGAAGATGGGTCCTATGAAATAAAACCACGACATTGATCATCAAATCATTAACCCATTTCGACGCGGAGCCGTTCCTTATGGTTACTCCAGCCGAATATGCATAATATTTTTTTGGATGTGGACCTTCTGGTTTTTCTAACAATAGAAAGTCAATCACTAGCATGCTTTAGAGGTTGCGAACATGATAGAATTGTAGGGTAGACCTTGCTGTATCGTTCCATGGTTATGGAAGATATGTATTGGATTTCAATCATGCTGAGATATTTGCAAAACTTCGGACCGCAGGTGTCTGCGGTGTGGAATGAACGTGTTGCTGTCCTTTCCGGGGAGTAGCTCGTTCACCACCACACCATGTGGGTGTTTCGTTTCGCCTGTCTCTCAGGTTAAAAAGATTAGGCAGTAAATAGAACGGTTAAGATGCTGAGATATTTGCAAAACTCTGGGCTGCTGGTGTCTGCTCCCGGAAAGGACAATAGTGGGTTCGTTCCCCACCGTTGACACCTGCGGTCCGGAGTTTTTTATTGGGCTGTTCACTATATGTTACTATGGTCTCATTTTGCAAATGTATTGTAGGGATTTAGAAGTATTTTACGTTTTATATTGTGTTTCGGTGTCTTTTATATCCGCACATACAATAATCGTAGTTGATATGTTTATTTATATGATATGATAAACCGATCTTTTTAAGCTGATGCGAGTTTGGTATAGGTCTTCGTTGTCGTTGTTGTTGGTCGATGGCCGACAAACAGAAACGACGACGAAGACGTATACCAACCTCGCATCAGCTTAAGAAGATCAGTTTATAAGATCGTATAAATAAACATATCAACTATCTATTCCGAGGTTTATAGAAAGTCGGACTTTTGAATAATCATAGTGATTCAAATGAAGCAACTTAATTGCTTGTCAATTTACCACCGAACGCATTTTTTCATCCAAAAGAGTGTTTCTTTGTTTTGTGAATCACTAAGTGTAGAGAATACTTTTTCTGGTCTCACCACTCCCATTTTGATGTGTTTTCGATTAAATATCCAGTGGATATATTTTTTATTTTTTTTTTTCATTTTGATCCGTCTTCACGTCTACTGTGCGGATCCCAGCACTTCTCACGTCCAGTTCGTTTCCTCGTATCCATCATCCACGAAGGTCTTCCAACTTTACATGTGGATTCGGTTGCTGCTTGAGGATTTCCATTTCATCTTGAATTTTGTAGAACGTTTGTCAAGCAATTTTCCCTGGAGTCCTGAGATAGCCGGCGTGGAGCATGTCCACATGCATTGCAGAGAGTGATTTCTTCCCAGAGAAGTCCGGTACCAATTCCCCGAACCCAGCGGAATCGAACTAGCACCATGCTCGCGATGACGGACACCACTACTATTGTGCCATCCGCCCCATAATGAATATATATAATGGGGTAAAAGAAAAACCGAGTGTGGGCCAATTTCATATTTGAATATAGACACTATAGTGTCCACGCAATCGTTTGTCGTAAATTGCTATGGATACTGGTGTGTCCATACGAAGCGGAATGGGTTAAATTCTTGCTCTTCCTTTCGTTAAAGTGATTCATAGAGAGTCATAGTTTCAGCTTTGAAATAGCTTTTTCTAAGTTCCAATTCCTTCCTTTATTCCAGTTAAAATAAGCCGCTATTCGAAGATGATTGTTCAGGCAGGTAGATATGTAAAACAGATGGCAATACTGGGCTTAGGCTCTCGCTTAGTAGGCAACTTTTGTGCTGGCTCCAACACAATCTCCATTCCTCAGAAACTTGCTGGTTAAGCCACTGTGGTTCCCTGGAATCCCGAGTTCAGCTTGGCGAAAGTCTGCCCCAGGTCTTCACCACCACAGGCAGTCGCAGTCGTTTTGGATCAGAGAGAGATTTGCCACCATGAGACTTTGATACCAGGACGGTGGTGAATTTTGGTATTGGTTTACTCTTAGCTGGGTTTCCTAATGGAAACGCCGGACTCCTTCTCTGCTTGGGAGACCTGGCCAGGGGGATGAATCCCCACGCTGTACATCGCAGTCCCACACCCAAGAACACTTCCCAGCCACGTTGAGGCGGTAAACCGTTGGGAGGAGCAGAGAATCTGTATGAGAAAATCTACTCCACTAACTAGGACTGCATGGAATATGGAATCAAAGTGGTGGTGGTGGTGGTGGTGGTGGTGCTAAATCTAAGATTACTAGTACTTGTTGAGCATTCGGATTGATTCCTATGCATAAACTACACCAATGGTTTCTAATCATGAAAAGTACTGTAGAACTGTACGAAAGGTGTCAGTAATGAATCGTGCCATATTGTGGATAGGAATGTTGCTGAACGTTGAAGAGCAGTGCACCTTGGATTATTCATTTCTCTAGTAGAGTCATCCAGACTGAGGAATTCGACATTCTCACTCGGATGGTCTTCTAAAAGTATTCACGGGATTAAGACTCTAGGAGCTATCCATATCTACCTTTTCTACAAAAAGGGTAAAAATAAAGAGCTTCACACGGAAATTATCGTCCACTTAGTCCTAATATGCTCGACTTACTCCTTGCAAGTGATAGAGGTGACCACTTTTCAGGGCATTTTGCTTATCGCAAGCTTATCATATCAGACATGTATGGTACCTTTCTATGTTTGGGTGACGGTACTATTCCAGCAGCTTTCACAATAAGTGAGATAAACGCATTCTTCTCGTAGATAGCTCACATTCTATACATATAATTTCGTACGTCTATCAATTCTTTGGACCTCTGTCGTTACCATTGCCAATCGGATCCACTTTGTTACACATACCAATTTGTCACCCCACAAGTCAACGAAGTGGCAAAACGATAACAATCAACAATAAAGCGACAAAAATGGTGCTATAACATTTTATTCACTTTGCTTCGTACCGGACTATTACGCACATTCATCGAAGGATCAGGACACACTAGCAATGGAGTGGGTGCGAAAACTCCTGGAAAAAATACGAACATGATTACAGACAGGTGCAGACCTAAGAAAAAATTCTTCCTCTTAGGAAACGCAGGAAGTTTTCTCTATGAAAAGGAATTCAAAAGTTCCGGAAATAAAAGTAGACAATTTTGACTTATATTATACAGAAGTTCCTCTATTTCTGTTAGCTCTTGCGAATACTTTCCTTCTTCACTGTTCTCTTGGTAAACAAACACGAGGTTAATACTTTATTCTTTGTGTATTCTTTCGAGTTTGCACGAGGTTGATAAAGATATTTATTTTCGGCTAACGTTTCGACGTCTTCGTCTCCATCAGAAGTCTATCGTCTTCAGAAAAAGTACGTATTGATTAGTTAAACCGAGGTTAAAGGGAAGTCGGTTTCGAAGTATAACTCTATTCTATATTGGAAAATAAGTTGACGTTTCGGCGGATATCTCCTTCCTCAAAGCCCGGAAAGGTCGAGTTGAATGCAATCTACCCAGCCAAAAACCTTTATAACTAAACAAAGAAAGTACTAAAGCAATATTCCAATCACATTGAAAACAAAATAGCTTCTTAGCAAACTCCGCTTTGTATAAGCCTTCCAATGAATATTTCACGTGGCGACCGACTGCACACAGTTCACGTGGAAGCGTAATGTGCCTCTAACATTAAAATAGCTGTCTTAAATATAGTCTGATATCATGCAATATCATGATCATGAGACATTCGTCCCTGTGGTTTATTTCAGATCCTTAGAATTTATCCAGGATTTTTCGAGAGTTTTGCGCCATTGTGTTTTAGATTCCTGCGGAGGATGTTGACTTCTAATTCAAAACTTTCCCCGTTATGTCCCTATGTTCAATGCGCACTTAGTGGAATATCTGGTTTCACTCCAAAAGAACCGACCAGGTGTTCTTTTGTACGGACACAGAGTGGTCTACCCGTATCGCCAATGTATTCGTCCCCACATGCTCTGCAAGAGATCAGATAAACAGTATCGAAACTCATGCAATCACCGTTTCTACCGTTAAGGCATATTATGAAATTCTGCGTTGTACATAGATGATGGGCGTGTGTGGCGCATTGGTCGAAAGAAGCCTGCAACAGACACATGAGATCGTTCCTCGCGCCTGTGGCTCAGCAAACCTTCCATCCCTCCGGCGTAGGTAAATTAGTACTAGGCTTCTTTGGAAGGATAGCATCACTTGCTCAATTCATCGGTAGGCCACCGCGAGTTATTGTAAAGGCCAGATGTGCATTCAATCAGCTCCAACGATGCTTAATGAAGTCGAGTGCATGGTCCATCCCTCAAGGATCAACGATCAACTCGGAGAGCTTTTTTTATTTTTTACATACCTTCATACAGGAGCTTGCGAACATCTGGCACCTTAGAGTAATCGGTGGTATTTCAGTCACCGTTACCGAATTCTCCAGACTGGCCCATCTAAACCAGCGTTTTGTTGCTGCATCAGTTTCGTTGGAAGTGAAGAGCAGGATAAGCAGGACCACATTATCGTTCGCTTGAGGGCTTGGATTTTCCTCTACGCCTATCCTGAAGAGCTACCGTTTCGTAAGAGCTATGAAGGCCATATCCTTACAATGAAGTTGATGTCAGATTTCGATTATTCGCGAACGAAACCTTCAATATCCTTAATCACTATCGCGTGAAGACGTTTCGTTCTAACCGCGCAGAAACGCAAAAATATGGTACGTGGTAGATTCGAGAGTTCACAAGGTTATAAAGCATTGGACTGTCTGTTAGTCTTTCTGCCTATGGAGGTGTTTGGTTGGGTCGATTTTATTCAACTCGTTCTTTCCAAGCTCTGAGCAAGGCGAAATCCAACGAAACTTCAGCTTTTCAATATAGAATAGAGTAACAAACTCGTGTTTGCTCATCAAAAGATCAGTGAATTATTCAACCAATGCCGAGATTAGTAAAAGGCCGGTATTGAGAATTACTTTGCTCCACTGAGGATGATCGGACTCTAAACAACAACGAAGACACCACATCGACAAGACGAACGACCGTGGACCATCGACTCGGATCATCGGCTCCAATAAAGATGAAGACGCTGAACCTTTAGCAGAATAAGCAGCTTCATCGACCTCGTGTTAGCTTAACAATCCAAGCAGGTGTTGATTATTACTAACGTGCTTAAATGACGGTCGGCTTGAAAAATATTGTTTCACTTCACTCTTCCTTCGTGCAAAGGCTTAGCTGAAGCTTAATAATGTTGTACATGTGATGCTCAGAAAAAATAAAGAAGAACAGATATGTGTAGTCTGCGCTTTTATACAAAGAAGAATTAAAGTAGTACGTATGTGATGGCCTAGATCTGACCTAGTCACTCTAGTAAATCTCGTTTTATCTCTCTAGAAAGGTTAATCACCGTTTTTGAAGGTAACTTCATGTTTCTAAGTTAATACACCTATTAAGCACAAGAGAGCTGAGATATGAGCAAAACATGAAATATCAGCTGGGAGTCGAATCCGTGACCACCCTTAGCGGCGAATCGCGAAGAAGTACTTCACCAACCGAGACGCCTATTTTGCTTTCCTCTCGGCCAGCTTCTCACTCTGTCGGTGCTACCGGCAATCCCTCTTCAACGAGAATGATCTGGGAAGTATAAATAGGCATAGGACCCAGTTAGGCCGAAGCTGCAGTCCAAATCACAGTTTTTAAAGGACAATGTTGACTTGCGAGTTTTCTTTACGTAAACTACCATGAGATAAGAATAGGCAGTAAACAAAACTTGAGACATAGTGATATAGACTGTAGCTTTACTTTAACTGGATCCAATGCCGCTTTTTGTTTCCCGGATCATTCTTGCTGACGGGTGATTACTGATAGCTCCGTTATGGCAAAAAAAAAGCCAGCTGAGACAAAGGCAAAACAAAGGCCTTGGTCGGTGCAGTGGGTATAGGTGAGTCCGTGATACAGATAATCGTAAATTCGAAGTCCAACGGAGGTGCCTCTTTTCGCCAATATATCTTTATACCTCAGTATCCTCTGAATGTGGCTTAAGACGCACTCCACTATGAAAAAAACATGCAGGGAATAAAAGTTAGAAGTAGTGACACCCACAATGCGCTGAGATATTCGCAAAACTCCGATTGTTTCGCGTTTCCCTAAACAAGTGGTAACGTTCCCTCTCAACGGTTAACCGCCTCATCGTGGATAGGTGTTCCTGGGTGTACAGCGGGTGATTCATCCTTCTAGCAGGGTCTCCCAAACTGAGAAGGAGTCCGACGTTTTCATCAGGAAGCCTAGCTAATAGTAAACCAATACCGAGATCCACCACCGTCCTGGTATCAAAGTCGCATGGTGGAAAATCTCCCCGTGATCCACAAGAGCTGCGACTGGCTATGGTGGTGAAGACCTAGGGCAGACTTCGGCAAGGCTGACTTCGGGATTCCAAGGAGCCATAATGGCTTAACCAGCAAATCTCCGAAAAGTGGAGGTTATGCTAGGGCGCGCACATCCAGTGAGGAGGGGCCATTCAAGTTTCACGTATCAACTAAGTAAATGGTAACGTTTAAATTTTGCAGAAAAATTAGCACTTGACAAATTGTCGCCTCATGCCTTACCGAAAGTTGTTAGGCATTCTCCTTTCAAGTGCTGTCAATGTAATGTGTTGCCCTATGAAACACACTCGGAGCATGTAGCACAGTAGAGGCGCCCTACAATACACATGGGTTCCCTCTAGCGGTGCGTGCTAGCCAACCCTACCATCCCTCCGAAGTCGACAAATTGGTAGCAGACTTGTCTGGGAGGATAACAGCACCGACTTCATACATCGATAGGCCACCGCAAGTTATTGTGCAGGCCAAATGTGAATTCACTAAAGTCTAAGATGCTACGAATAGAAACTAATGCACTAATGATTGCATTGTAGATTGTTCAACGCCAAGCGCTTTATCCTTTACCCTTTATTAAAAAACTTGGTGATTTAATCAAGAATATGGCAAATTACATCTAAGTGCCCATATATTCAGAAATATGTTCACATGTGATAGTTCTTTTTAAAATATACCTATTCCATCACCGATACGTTCTGTGAAATTTGGTTTAGGCCCGAGGGAGTTCAGAAGTGTAGCCGTCGTTGAGCGACCCGCGAACGGCTTGATCTCATGAGGTTGCAGAACTCGTCGCCGTTTCTTCGGCAGTTTCGACCTGATTTAACTAAAATACACTCTGGATCTAGGGTGAAATTCTACTTTAGCTATATGCTTGACGCGCACAAATTTGAAGCATTAACCCAGCATCCTAGAAAAAAATCTGCCTACTTAATAAATATTTCATAATTTGATGATTACACACTTTGTCACCTCACATCGGCAGTCAGTTTGTAACTAAATGAACTTAAAACAGAGAACTACCCATTCTATTTTTGGCACTCAGTGTAGCTATAGTTAACCGTAGTCGTTCGAATACATCCACTATTGAGCAAAATATATTTGGCCTACGGAGCGTTCTCAAAAGGATTATGAACCAATAAGATATGCATGTGATGAGGATGATGCATTTTTAGGATTTTATTGCTTACCCATAATTATCTGGGATCATTTAAATCATTTAAAGGAACCATTAAGAACGAAAGAATCGGTCATTCACCGGTGATTAATTAGGCTTAACGACAGATGATACAAGTAAACACTTATAGAATTTTTCTAAAAGTTGCCAAAACAATGCTAAGTCTCTGTTGCACATACCTGGCCTGAGCATGTGAGTAGAACATGGCGAAATTGGAAACAATAACTGGAACTGGTAGCGCGATCGTTAGCACTCCCATCAACGCACACACTGAACCTACCATCATACCAAGATACGTCTTTGGAACCTAAGAGCAATTTTTTCCCACCTTAACTTGAATTCACTTCATTCTGTTCGTTATTGTTGCCTTTCTAAATCAGTCTATTTGCCCGACTTTTGCCTGCTTTTTTTTTATCTAATTGAAATGAAGTTTGAATCAGTACTGAAGAAAGCGCAATACCAACGTTTAACCTACTTCAGGCCAAAATTTTGGGCAGTGAAGTTCAGATATATTCCTAGGCATTAGTTCTTCTTAACAAAAATCCATATCCAGTAGCTAGGCAAGTTCCCATCCTATCTTTCGCTCTGCAGTGGGCTGTGCCAGCCTATGAAACGTCGTTTTATGAGATCATCTTCATGTATGATGATGACAGCGAATGAGATGAGCAGATGCAATGCAAAATCTCTAAAGATCAACCATTAAACTGTCTAAATTAATCTCTACCAGATAGCCGAATGTGAATATTTTGGCTGACACTCCGCAACAAATGAACAGATAGCATTTAACTTCAATGATATTGAGATATTTGCAAAACTGCGGACCGCAGGTGTATGCGGTGGGGAACCAAAGCGATATTGTCCTTTCCTGGGAGTAACGCGTTCACCACCACACCACGCGGGTCCCTGGTTTCGCCTGTTTCTCAGCTAGTTCTATCTATTTTTTGCCGTCAGCAATCACCCGTCAGCGGAATTGATCTGGGGTCCCAAATCGTAAAAAATGAATACCCTGCCGTTAAAAAGAGTAGGCAGTAAATAATAAGTTGAGATAGCATTTATTTTTTCTTATATTTGGACAAAAAGATTGGGTCCAAATCAATACTTGAACACTAAGATGAACCGTCTTCACATGCTGTGCAGGTATTAGCAGTTCTTGCATTCCTTATTTCATTGTCTTACTAGCATAATCTACTGAACTGGTCAGATTTATGAGCGCGTTCGGTTGTCAGACGGATATCTACCGTTGTTCCCCTCATTGACACCTCAAGTGCTGGTCAAGCGCGTTCCCGCCGGGACCTCGAGACCATCGTTGCCTGAATGCCCCCAGGCACGTACCCTGGGCAGTCGTCCGCCTGAGTGAATTGGAGAGAGGATTGCTGTCTTGTTTTCGAAATTTCTCCACAACAGCGGTGATTTCTGTGACTGTAGCAAGCCTTCGACTAGTCGACCGTCTGCTAAGGAACGATGCGAATTCAAATCTACCATGTATGTAACTAAAACTAGTGACTAATCGACGTTTTTTTTTTGAATTTCGGGTTCGTTCTTCGCTAAAACTTACTAAATCGCCAAATCCGATTGTGCATATGGTGATCACTGCCCACCATAATCCGACTGGTATTGAGTTGAATTGGTTGTCGGGATTGTCCTCAACACGCTCAGCATAATAGACAAGCGCTGCGAAGATGACGATGCCAAGCAACACGAAGAACACCAAGAGGAACAACTCCTGAAACATGGTGATCCAAATCAATATCGCAACCAACTATTCAATATTTGCACTTCCCAAAGTGAAAACTCCACTATTAAATCATTTCCGTTATTTTAATGCTGTCGGATTTCTATCGTAGGTAATTCTGGTCTCCTCATTCTTCACATATAGGCTTTCCATAACATTTCAAAGAATACTGGAGATGTCTTATTTGCATGCTGATGTCACCTGTCTCTGCGTATTTTGTTAATCTAAACGTATCTACTCTTCACTTCCTCCACAACCTTCTATTCAAGAGGCAAATGACTGGGTTTACAATATAGCTATAAATATTGGACCAAGAAAAGAACGAAAGCAGCAGACATTTGCTTGTTTGAGCTACCAAAGCCTACCCCTCCTAGTTTGTCCATAACCCTTATGCTGGTCGCCATGCTGTTTCAGAGACTCACTGAAACATGAGAATTCTCATTACTTCGTCTCCTTCCATGTAACGCAGCGGTTACAGATGCTCTGAGATAGACATAGGTTCCTTGGTCCAATACTGCACTCCGGCGTGCGAAGCCCTCCACCTTTCCGTTATCCACGAACTGCACTACACCTCGTTGAGGAGAAAAATACTAAGCCGTACACTAAGCACTACACTGTACAGAAGGAACATATAAGTGATCGTGTGTGCCAAATATTCAATTCATTCACCTCAACGATGTTTATATAAGTCGAGTGTACGGTGCGTCGATAAAGGATTGATCAGCGAAGGACGCTCTAACCGTTAAATCATTATATCGCGTCTTCTAATGCTACGAATGACATGTTGATGTTGAGCATCTCATGAACAGCACTTAAAACTCTCGTGTCGCACTGAGACAAAGTTGTTGAGCATAAATTCGCCATTTACTTATTACGCAGTTTCAGAAGTCAAAAAGTAGACCAACATTGCATTTATTCAGAACGTTCTCAATGTTGACTACATTAAAAAAGGAAAAAGCTCTCGGTGTTGATCAATCTCTGAGAGATACGCCACGCATTCGACTTCATTAAGTATCGTTGGAGGCGATTCAATGCATATCTGGCCATTACAATGATTTGCGGAGGCCTACCGATGTATCGAGCCAGTGCTGCTATCCTCCCAGACAAATATGGTGCCATTTTGCCGACCCCGGAGAGATGGAAGGCTTGTTGGGCTATGGGCGCGGGCATCGGTTCTGCGTGTGGGGCGCCTCCAACCACTGCGCCACAGGCGTCGTTGAATACATAACTTTGTAAATTCTTATTTGAAAACTGAAATGATTTGCCTCCACCAAGGCATAGCCGAGTGCAGTCTCCACATTTGACTTCTACTTGATTAGCTGGCCATGACTTGCGTCCTTGAAGACCGAGATTACCTATGGAGGCCTTTTGCGAATGCAACTATGGTGTATTGTCAACCGCCATTGAAACGAAGAAGTTTTAACACATTGGTACTACTATTAACACTGCTATTTTTCCGCTAAATGAAGATGTAGTTGAGTAGGAAGTGTTGGAATCGCTTTTGTACATAGACAGAATTATATTCTACCACGAGAGATTGCATTGTTTTCTCCACTGTGAAAATGAATACCTTACTGGAGAGAGTTTTACTATGACAGCCTACTTAGCAGTTGAAGTCCTACAAAGTCACTGGTTAAATAACGCCGACAAAATGACGTTAATACCTTGAAATCGTTTTTTTTTGTCAGTGAAGCTGAAGGTACGGATTAATCAACTGGTCTTGTCCTAGCTGGCACAAAATTGTGTCCCATAAGAGCCTTGTGAGTGTTATAATGATTGTGCATTAAGAGAATGTCGATAGGAATTTACCATTTCGTACAAACAAATGGTAAAGTGAAAATTCAATCGGAATCGAAAGACGCTTTCATATTTGTCAAGATGTCGAGAACTTGGCAAGCTAGACGAGTCGTCGATCTGAGAAATAGTCGTTTAACACAAGCAGTCTGCTAGAAAGCTTGATAGGATAAGAAGCTTCACACCTGGAAGACCTGACGGTCAAATTTTTTGCGAATGCCTCAAAAACATAGTGTTTCTCAGGTCCCTCATGTGAGCAAAACCAACTGAGCAACTCTAACGAGTGACAAGGAAGAAAGAATGTTGTGCTGTCACCAACTTGAACCAATGGATAATTTGAAAAAGGACGTGCCTGGGAAAGTGTCAGATATTTACGTGATCAGCTTATGAACAAAGCTCAGGATGTCACAGAGCACACTTTAAGGTGATTCTTGGCAGAATCTTTGTTTTGGAGGATAATGTCTTTGCTGCTTAGGAATTTTCTCTTTCTTGTGGATAGCATTATGTATAGTGCAAGCAGCACCAGTGGACGAAGGTAACTGTTTCATAGAAGGTCGTCCATTATGTCATGTTTTCCTAGATTATGATGCTAAGATAATTGGAAAACACAGATCTCGCCCAAATTGCAACCCGCTATTTCCATTTCCAGGAGCTCACTTGTTACCCAGGGTCTTTCTCTCAACCAGTTTTCCGTCTAACGGTGCCATTGGCAATCACGTTTCACTGGGATTGGTCTGGAGAGTAGGAATAGGCACTGAACCCAGTTAAACTGAAGCTGTGTTTGAAATCACATTGTTAACTTCTCATTCGGTGCTAGTACAATTTTTAAGACAAGAAATGATGCCAAGTACAACCACTGTGATGCTGAGATGTTTGCAAGACATAGACCCCAGGCTAGATTCACTCAGTGGTGCAGTGGAAAATTCTCCAAAAAATGTTCCCTGATGGTGGCTTCCAAGCAAGAACTTCGGACTTTTCTCATGCAGTTTTCTTTTAGAACCATTCTTTTGGCGAGACCTGGTACTTGCTCCATCTTTAATCGAAAACAAAAACTAAGGCGGAACATCGTAAGATCGAGATAGTCGTCTTTCAAGATTTTGTCTTTTGAGTGGTAGGCTATTTGTGTCCTTCTATAGCATGTGGATTATCTTCTAGAGAAAAGCTACGATAGGTCGTAGGGTCGTAATTAAATCAAAAAATATGAAGTGGCGATGTTTGGCGAGATTTTATAGACGTTTTACTTATAGCCTATAGCTCACGATTCGATAATGATCAATAACTCACGACGAAAAGGAGAAGTTGGTTTGAGCTTCTTTTTTGCCATATGCAACTTATTCTTCCACACACAGTGATCTCTTGCTCTGTGTTTCAACTTACACTGCAGCTGCTTTGATAACGTAATGATAAAACACGCTGAACAAAGATAGTACTATATCGAGTAGACAATATTGGAAAAATAGCCATTTTATCCATATATCGTGAAGCATGACTTTTATGATGCACATGAGTATCTTTTTTCCTTTCTTTCTTTTTTTCTTTATTTTCTTGCCACCAGAACTGTGTCAGGCTTGCTACAGTCACTTCTGAAACAGCTTGACACTTGGAATAACGATATCGGAGAAGAACATCCTGGTGCACGACGTAATTTCGCGGACATAAATACCCGTAGGCATTATTAGACTTCAACCACTATCGGTCACTTAACAGGAACATGTGTGTCGCAGTGGGAGGCGCCACTGCAACACACAAATGGGACCGATCCTGGCGCCCGTGGCTCACAAAGCCTTCCTCCGGGGTTGGCAAATTGGCACCAGACTTGTCTGGGAGGATAGCAGCACTGGTTCGATACATCGGTAGGCCACCGCCAGCCATTGTAAAGGCCAGATATGCGTTGAATCACCTCCAAACGATGCTTAATGAAGTTGAATGCATGGCGCATTCCTTAGGTAACGCGAAGTTCTTTATCCTTTATTACTTATCCGTCACTTTATTGACTATATTTTAAAAAATGGTAGTGCTCGTAAGATATTGATCCGATTCTGCAAGAGCTTAGTTTACCCAATGGCACAGAAAATGAAAATAACTAGGTAAAAACTTTACATATACAGTATCGCAGAAGAAACTCACCTGAGCAGATGCCTTGAAGGTTTGAATAAGTATTTTCAGTCCGACGGAATGTTTGGTGAGCTTGAACAGTCGAAGAATTCGGATTATTGAGAAGAATTCGACGGAATCTCTATAAACAATTAAGCAGGAAAATGTCTTGGAATGACGTAATGTGCTCAATGAATACTGACCGATTCGCTCCGGACAACACACTGTCGAGTGCCCAATCAATATAGAACGAAATCGTCGCGATAAAATCGATAATGTTGACAGGAGTTTTGAGAAATAGACCAATTTTCGGCGAGAACAACATTCGTAGCAGAAACTCGCCGGAAAACCACATGTTGCAGACCAATTCTACATAGAAAAACGACGGATGCGAACTAAAAGAACAGCGATGATATAGAGAAGACAAGTGTGCCGAGATATCTCTCCGTTAGGAATCTCCGCTGGGCTTCGAACCCGTGATTACCTTTTCGGAACTCAAGTATTATCAACCACACCAACCTAGATCTTGCTTTGCCTTTCTCTCATTCACTCTTCGACCTAACGCTACTGTTAGAATTAACCTGTCAACAGGAATGATGTGGCGAACACAAATCTGTAGTGGACCAAGTTAAGCAGAAGTTGCAGTCGAAATCACTATGCCTTAACGTTTACTGACTGCCTTTCTTTTTCCCGTGGCAGGGTTCTATGAGAAATTGACCCACAATGATACTGAGATATTAACAAAACTAGGATCCTCAGGTGGGCTCCGAGTATAGTTATGGCTGAGAGAAAGGCGAAGCAAGGAGCAGGATAATCACGGGTTCGAACCCCAGCTGACGTTCTTTGTTTTGCTTCTACTTCAGCATCAGTATGATTGTATTTCACATTGCACTTTGCCATAAAAAAGGAATGAGCAATAAATTAAAGTTGAGATCATAGAAAAGACTCTTCGGAAGTAATAGCACTTAACACAATAGTTAAGTTGGAATATCGTTTGCAAAAAAGACGGGACAAAGTAAAATCTTCTAGTAAAAATGTGGTTGAAACCTTTAATTAAATACCTATACCTGGTGGTAGTTTTACCAACGTAGAACGTGTTCGGATGGCTAACATTCAGGTGAACAATATCAATGTCGGGTATTCGAAAATACGGATGTGTCTTTAGACAGAAGCAGACGATGGACAGCACAACAAAGCAGATGTTGACCAATGAGATTGACTGAAATGAGAAAAAACTTGACCATCGTCGGCATCAGCGCCGACAGCCAAATTTGGCTTTTAGATGGTCACTAGTGGTCGACAGATCCCGTTCATGTTAACGGGAGCTTCGATCTTTCACCCTAAACTTAACTCTAAACTAATATTCGTCATTCAGTAGACTTTAAGCTAGATAGTATTCACTCAACTACTCCGACAGCATTCGGTGATAGATTCGAATCTATGAAATATTTACAAGCAGAAGAAGACTGCATTTCCTCTAGTCATTGTTAAAAACGCGTGTCATTTCGGCCTTAACTGCCCAAAACTGAGGAGCCCGATGAATTCTACCGCAAGGAAAGGTGCTGCCTTCTAAGCTTAGACCATGCGAGAAGCAAGGGGTATTTAAGTTTACTTTATGTTGACAGAATAGCTATGCCCTTTACTTCCTGCAAGACATCGTTGGCAAAAATGCAGAAATGCTGCTATAACTAGTAGTAATAGTGACTGATAAGGTTAATGCTGGAAGACAACGATCCAGAGCTACCATAAAAACTTGCCAGGATGGTTAGCACTGGAAGCGATCGATATAAAAGACGTTTCTTCTTAAAGTATTTCAATAGTAGTCCCAAAAAGAGTAAATCGTGTGTAGCCGAAACAAAACAAGTGTTGTGAGCAACGTTGCACAGCGTATACGATTCTCATTGACGCAGGTGGAGCGGAGCACATGAGTTAAGATTGGGAAAGCTGAGGGCAGCATGTTCTATAAGGTAAGAATACGTGTAGGGGTATGATGGAACATGAAAGGCACAGCAGAGTACGGTAGTTATTAAACACAGATTATTTTTTGGTACTAAAAAACACTTCGATCCGAAAAGTTCAAGCTGTGTGAGTGGAAATAAACGGACTATAAAGACAGAGGGTTCTCAAATATCGACAACTCGATTTGAACGAAATTCACACTTCAGCATGAAACGTTGCCGCAAACACCACGCGTGATTCCGATCAATAAATCGATCAGATACTTTCATGCAACTCACCGTAATCGATCTTGGCATGACGGAAATTCTGAAAATTAGCACCTATACATTATATCAATCATTTATTAGTAACCCTGTAGACATAATTTATTAATTTTATCGACTTTTATGAGCACTCCTTAAAGGGACACTCATAGAACAGATGACGCAGTTCGGTGGCCACAATATCACCTTGACTAGAATCATATAAAACATACGGATAAATGCAAAGAAAAAGTTATTCAACAAGAATTACAGTAATCCACGATTTCGTTGAAATATAGTAGCAATATGAGTCTACAGTATCACAAAACAAATGGTAGAAGCCTTTCAGCAATCGATGTGCTTACGACATTTAGTGTATAAATGGTGTGCATAGGTGATAAATCCGTACTCGAAGATAACGTTCGAAAGAAAAATTGACGTCCACCGAAATAAACAAAACGACTAGACTTCAATGAAAGGAAGAAAAACTATCCTTAACACCCGTTTAGATCACCTATAAATCCTTAAACATTTCTGGAAAAAACGCGTTACAAAAAATGTTGCTTTGCTCAATGAACACAAAGAAATGTCAGTTTTCTCCCTGCTGAATCCCATTGTGGACAACTGATCCTCGGCTACATGCGGAAACTGTCACAAACGATCACGTTTACTCTCGCCGGATAAGTTCATAAAAATTGAGAGCTCGCCAAAGCTCTGAATCTTAGTAACGCTAATCATCATATCACTGGCAAGATCAAGACTGGATAGGAATCGTCATTGCCCAGTGGGATTTGTCACTGCAAGCGCGCAAATCGGCTTAAATTCAAGAGACTATGAACAGTTTACTGACTGCGTCTATGTTAATCGCAAATGTCCTACCACAGCTCGAATTGAGAATTGGCTAAATGGCACAAATCGAAAAGAAGACAGTAATTTTCTTTTTGAGGAACTACTGGAAAGCAAGAGTGAGTAGGCAGTGTAACTGTTACGAAATTACTGTCATTTCACAGTGATCAGAAAACAGGTGGTCGTCGATGGTACTTCAAGCTTTGCTGGCCAATGCTAGCCGATCAGCTTCCGATGTGATTCACAAGGAGGTCCACCGTTTCGTCCAAAATTGTTCAAAGGTGTCATGTGGGACGAATGCCCTGATGATTTCTTTCGGTTCTTGTTCCAGTGCGAATGTTTTACGCTCAGCATTGATGGTTTCACTTCATGAGCCTAAATAAAGGGACTATCGATTAAATAACCTTTGGAAACTTTTTCTCTTCAATTTTTTAGCAAACAATCCCTACATAATGGGCGGTTACCGTACCTGTAACACTCGTCGCCGTTTCTTGGGCAGCTTCGCGCGGGCTTGTGAATGCGAGTAGAGATTGGAGAAATTGGAGACGATCACCGGAACTGGTAACGCGATTGTCAGCACACCCATTAGGGCGCACAGCGATCCCACAACCATACCCAGGTACGTACGAGGCACCTGAAATCGGCCCACATTGGAACCTGTCAATTCAGATCGACGATGAATTCTCAAATGGGAGAAAAGCTATTAAAAAAGACCGTAAAATAAAGGAAAAATCGCAGATCGTCTCATATAATAGCTAAATCATGTGGCGCCAAAGTACAACGGCAAAGTGTAGTTTAGATTTTAGCTCACACTGGCATCAAGTATTATGCGGATTTCAGCACTTTTTTCACTGGATTCATTTCTTCGCGTCTGTAATCCATCGAGGTCTTCGAACTTTTCGCCTGTGTGTTCGACTGACATGTGGGGACTTCGCCCTTAACATGAATTTCGTTGAATGATGGGTGGCTCAGTCGAATCTCACTGGTATGATGGAAAAGCCATGTTAGGAGAGCATTCCCAGCTCTCTGCTATAAACAATCACCAGCATTGCTAGAATAGGCGAGAACTCTTCCCAGACAAGCCCGGCTCCAATTTGCCGACGCCACAGTGATTGAAGTCCTGGTCGGAGGAGGCGGGTCGAACCATGAATTGTGTATATTGAACAGTATACTCCACCAGTGTGTTACTCGCGCAGCGAAAAGGTGATAACACTGTTCAAATATCTCAAATCATTGCAGTTTTATAAGTCCCATACCAACATTGTGTTAAAGGTGTTGAGCTAAAAGCAACATTACAGACCTAGTGAAAAACCGATAAACACATAAATCATCATGAGAAGAAACTAATAAAAATCATAAAGAAAACATAAGAAGAACATATTAAAAAAATATGAGAAAACATAAAAATAAATAGAATATACACCGTTGTTGAAGAAAGAGAGAGTTAAGTGAAAGAGGACTCTTTATTGTCTATAGTGATTAATAGCTCGCTATAAAAAAAAAGATTGTATTTACATAAAGCAGAAATTGGAGTACTTGATACTTGATACTTGAACGGCCCATCCTCACTGACTGTGCGGGCCCCAGCACATTCACCATTTTTCGGAGATTTGCTGGTTAAGCCATTGTGGTTCCCTGGAATCGCGAGGTTAGTCTGGCCAAAGTCTGTCCCAGGTCCTTAGCACCGGAAGCGGTGGCAGCCCTTGTGGAACAGAGGGAGATCTGTCACCATGCGACTTTGATATCAGGACGGTGGTGGATCCTAGCATTGGTTTACTCATAGTTAGGCTTCCTGATGGAAACGCCGGACCCTTCTCAGCTTGGGAGGCCTTGCGGGGGCGAATTTCCTGCTGTACATCGCAGTCCGACACCTAGGAGCACCTCCCAGCAGCGATGAGGCGGTAAATCGTTGGGAGGTTGCAGAAGAGCAGAAATTGGAGTAAGGACAAAAAAATAATGAAAACGAATAAAACTAAAGAAAACTGGAAAATGCTTTAGGATAAACACTAACCATATCTCCGAAACCCACGGTTGAAATCGTGACCAAACTCCTGAAACGAAATCATCATTAACAGTACTAATACGTCTCTTATCACAAACTTTACCTAAGATTTTATTCTACAACCATTTGTTCGAATATCGAATAACTGATATGTTTGCTTAGTAGAATACATGATTTCTTCAGCACTTATCCTGTACATATTCAGTACGGATTCAATTCCCATTCATTTCTCATTGCATTGATAGCTAGAAGTCCGCTTAGTTCGTCGAATAATTCAGATCCAGAAATGGCTCGATCGTTTTCTCAATAAGGGAAAAAGTGCCGCTTGATGATCTGCATTTTCTACAGTATAGCTTTTTAGGGTTCGCGTGAAGCACGGTGGTTAGAGGGGCCCTGCAATACACATGGGATCGATCCTCGCGCGCTAGGTTCGGAAAGCTTTCCATCCCTCAGAAACAGCTTTAAGCTTTTATTTTAGATCCTTTTAGTGAGTGCAAGTAAAAATGTGTCAGTTTGACTCTTCAAAGCTTTGAAGAAGGCGAAACTACCGATACATCAGCCAGTACTGGCATTGAATTGAATAAATCTTGCTATTAACAACCTTGTGTCTGCTCATCAAGAAAACAGTGTGTGTGCGTGTGTGTGTGTGTGTAAATAATTGCAAAAGCTAAGAAATAACTGCCACGACCGACTTTCTATTAACCTCGGCATTGATCAAGTGATTTTCTTCGTATTTTTGTTGAGCAAACGCGAGGTGTTATTATTCTTTGTTCATGATTAAGCTGACGTTTCGGCGGATTTCGCCTTCTTCAGAGCCGTTTTCTATGAGGTTTCCACTAAGTATGCCACGTAGACCAACCGCACAGAAATCACGTGGAAACCTCATAGAAAGCGGCTCTGAGGAAGGCGAAATCCGCCGAAACGTCAGCTTAATCGTGAACAAAGAATAATAACACCTCGCGTTTGCTCAACAAAAATACTAAGAAATAACATTATTTTCCGCTTAATAGAGTACAAAGTTTTCCTGATATTTGAGCCAAAATTGAAAAACGTCTCACCAATTTTTTTCTAGTACAGTGAGAACGACAACAGAATCGCGCACTCCATTGTTTTTTAAAGCAATATTTTTATTTTGCACTAGATAGAACAAGTAGCGGACACACGTGTAATCGATGCCCACGCCCATGACCCACCAAGCCTTCCCTCCCTCTGAGGTCGGCAAATTGGTACTAGACTTATCTGGGAGGATAGCAGCACTGGCTCGATACATCGGTAGTTCACCGCGAGTAATTCCAAAGACTAGATATGCATTTAACCACCTCTAACGACACTTAATGAACTCGAATGCGTGGGGCATCACTCAGGGATTGATGTACGTCGAGTGCTTTATTCTTTTTATTAGACATAATACAACTCTTACCACCATAAACCGGCCGGAATACTGGTGAACTGGTTTTCCGGATTAGGCTGACTTCGTTCCGCGTAGTAGACGAGTGCGGCAAATATGACTATGGCAAGCAACACAAAGAACACCAGCAAGGCCAGCTCCTCGGCAGAAGCCTAGAATTTCGACATTTAGGTTCGCCAAAACGAAACCGCGCAGTAGGGGCACCCCACTGGTTCAATCCAATTCTGAGCCAGCCAAGGTCTCCACTATTTTCTTCGAAAATTGGTAGCGAACTGGTTTGGGCAGTACTCCATCTGTTCTGCAAAAGCTGGTTGGTACTTCCTGGGAACACTTTAGCAGATCTGTTCCAATATTCCAGAAACGGTCTACTCTGCAAGCATTCAACAACAACGGTGAAGAACAGAAAATCTTCAGGTACCAGTCGGATTCACACAAAAATCCGAAAACATTCGGGGATGATGAACTCAAGTCCAACAACCGAATGAAAGGACTGTTGAGATTCTCAAATGTGTGATGACAAGTGAAAGAAAAAATTTCAGACCATTTTTTGTCTTGTCATTGCTTTACCGCACTATCCTCTCAGGGTTCAGGGGTTTTGTGCTACAATGTACAACGAGACGCCTGAGGGTCACGCCTGAGCACGGTCGTTTAAGCTGAAAAGTCATTTCCAATCGGAAACCCAGAGAGTAGCAAGCCTATTCCTTGAGATCATGGCCAGCTACTTATGGAAAATTTTTCCGCCAAAACGTCAAAAGTAGAGGGTGTTGTATGGGAAGAATTACGTGCTTCGTATACCTTGAAAAGATGACGTATTTTATATCCTTCGAGCGATTAGGGATCCAGTGAGCATCCATGACGTTTGACAAAGAAGAATGGAGTTTAATAGTAGTCAGTTGAGTTACACGATTACTAATAGAATATAAAGACCTAATTCAAGCACGGGTTTAAAAACCAGAAAAAAAAGCGAACCTTGAATGTCTGTATGAGAATTTTTAAGCCGGAGAAATGTTGTGTGAGCTTGAATAAACGCAATACACAAATCATGGACAAAAAATCAATGGTGACCATGGAACCTGAAATATTAATAATTATTAATAAACTGTCATTAATAATTATGTTTAATACTTCTAAAAGGCAGTGTATTCTATATTTCAACTATATCCTCAGCTTAACTGGGTTCAATGCCGATTTGGGCTGCCCAGACCAATTCCGTCGACGGGTGATTGCTGATGGCAGTGATTGATAGAATTAACTGTGAGACAGGCGAAACGAAGGACCCGCATAGCATGGTGGTGAACGCATTAACGCCCGGAAAGGGTAATAGCGCGTTCGTTCCCCACCACACACACCTACGGTCCGGAGTTTTGCCAATATCTCTGCATCATTGTGGTTATTAATCTTTATTGGTACTATTAGTGGAATCCCCAACTAATTCAGTAAACATTAATGGAACTAATGTGATGCAAATGCAACATTAATAAACATATGATTCCGTCATTTATGGCAAATATATAAACGGATGTGCTTTGAGGAATCCTTTCCAGTTTCATACCATTGTATGCACTGAAGACACTTCAAAAAACTGTGTGTATCTTTGTGATCTGTGCATGTATCTGTGTGATCTGTGTGTGTACCAGTGTGATCCGTGTGTGTACCAGTGCAATCTTTGTGTGTACCGGATTTTTCATCTATCCCTGATTTTTAATTAAATAAGGAAAAGTTCTTCTTCAGCCTTTCAGGTACGATGAGGCCTACGTCGGATTTCAAAATCACCAACGAAGAAACATTACCCTGGAATTTCATCCTTTTGATTACTGAGCTATGATGAACATGCGAATTGAAAAACATTGTTAAAGAGGGATAACTTCCTTATTTTTAGAAGTGAAGAACTTTCCGTAATCCAAATGATAAGATACCTTCAAAAGAAGAGGAAGTTTGACTGATAAAAATTTTTATGTACTTTTACCACACCGGAGAGAAGAGGCAAAACAGATATTCGTTACTACTGTCCAGTCGTTTTACACTAGTTTACCGCCCCTTTTCTTGAAGCCATGCATTGAGAGAGAACTAATGTATAGTAAAAATGTTCATCCCTCAGAAAGGTTATTCAGGATGAGGATTTCGAAATTTCCTCAAGAAGTTCAAATAAGAACAAGCCTATGACACTATCGGGATTCGTAAGTTATCGTCGAGCAAAAGTAGTTAAAAAAAGATTTCATAGCAGAAGTGTGGCGCTCTCTTTGTGCTTAGGATAAGCATACGGAGGAATCAACTAAACAGCACCAATGTGCAACAGGTACGCATGAAGTTTGATAGGAACCGCTTATGACAAAGATTAACGTTAAAAGCATAAGGGATAAAGCTCTCGGCATTCAGCAATATCTGAAAGATGCTCCATGATTGTGATTGATCCATGACTTTATTAAGCATCGTTGGAGGTGATTGAAGCCATATGTGGCCTTCACAATGACTTGCGGTGACCTACCATATATTGAGCCAGTGCTGCCATCCTCCCAGACAAGTCTGGTACCAATTTTTCGACACCAAAAAGATGGAAGGCTTGGTGAGCCTGTAGCGCACGTATCGATCCCATGTCTATGGCAGGGCGCCTTTGACCATTGAGCTACACGTGCCACAAGATTAACGTTACTATAGGCTGATACTGAAGACTCTTTGTTGAATGCCTTCCTGACAGTTCTAAGAAAAGATTTCCTCATTTAGTGAAAACTGTTTATCGTCGAATTGTAGTAACAATGAAGAAATTCGATTGAGACGACAAACGGTCATGCATAGATAGAGGCCTCCAGTACGATATTTGTTTTCTTCGTTGACATTGCCTTGTTTAAGAAGTGTCGGTTGTGCGGCGAGAATTCACAGGAAGCATAAAGCATAAACTGCTTTTCTGATGTGAGGGGCACATTATACTTCCACGTGATTTCTGTGCGGTTGGTCTCTACGTGACATACTTAGTGGAAACCTCATAGAAAGCGGTGAGTGTGCAAAGCTGTGTTCAAAGTGATTGAAATCTTGGTTTGGAGCTTCTTTGTTTGGTTATGGAGGCGTCTGGCCGAGTGGATTGCTATCAACTTGACCTTTCCAGGCTCTGAAGAAGGCGAAATCCGCCGAAACGTCAGCTTAATCGTGAACAAAGAATAGTAACATCTCGCGTTTGCTCAACAAAAATACGAAGAAAATCACTTGATCAATGCCGAGGTTAATAGAAAGTCGGTCGTGGCAGTTACTCAAAGAAGACTCTGTGGCTTGTTTGGTTAGCGACTATGTCAGCATAATCGCAAAATTCTGCATAAATGCGGTAGTAACGATAGCCATCGTGTCAATCCCAATATTGTCAAAAGACTTTGGCTGAAAAGAAAATTCTACAGTTAATCTAAAATCCATCTCAAGTCCAGAATCGCAAAGCAACACAACACCAGAGTGATCATTAAACTGTCCAGTCTGGTGAAGGTGTATCACAGTGGGATGAGATGCCGTGCAATGTGCGCAGTAAGCCCATTAATTGAACATTGATTGAACTCTGTTCCAAATAAACCACGCCCTGTCTTCCGGAATAGACAAGTTAGCAGCAGCTTTGACCTCGCCACTGGACAACCAAGTGTTATATGAACTGTGTCAAACAATCGTGCCAAATTCTCATACAGACATTGTGTTCAAATTATCACATCGTGTTACTGGAGAAAATAATGGCAGCACTGCTAACGATGAACTTTGAAAAACTGACGTTGGAACAAATTCGAAGAATGGCTCAATGTACTCAACGATAAACCTTCACCACCAACGATCAGGATCGTCCTTCACTACATCTAGTGTCAACTGTCGCTATTTTCCAAAACATTCGGCCCTACTTTTGGTGTCATCTGCCACTGTTTTCAAAATCATCACATAAAATGGCCACTTACATCACTCACCTTACACCTATATTACTAAAAAAAAAGTTCCCTACCGACTTTCTATTAAAGTCTGCCTTTGGTCGAGGAATGCTTTATATTCTTGTTGAGCAAATACGAAGTGTTATGTTATTCCTTTATTTTAGAATAAGAGTTGAACTCTGCGCGGTTGGTTTCCACGTGACATACTCAGTGGAAGACTCATAGAAAGCGGTGAGTGTGTAAAGAAGCCGTTTTGATGTTCAATGTGATTGAAATCCTAGTTTAGTATTTTCTCTGCTTGGTTATGTAGGTGTTTGGCTGGGTAAATTGCGGTCAACGTTACCTCTCCGGGATCTGATAGAAGGAAGGGTAAAGGATAAAGCTCTCGGCGTCCATCAATCCCTGAGGAATGCGCCATGCATTCCATTTCATTAAGCAACGTTGGAGGTGATTGAATGCATATCTGGCCTTTATAATGACTTGCGGTGGCTTACCAATGCATCGAGACAGTGTTGCTATCTTCCCAGGCAAGTCTGGTACCAATCGGCCGACCCCGGAGGAATGGAAGGCTTGGTGGGGACCATGGGTGCCGGGATCGACTCCACGTGAGTGTCGCAGCGGCGCCTCAAACCACTGCGCCACACTCGCCCATTCCAGGATCTGAGAAAGGCGAAATCCACCGAAGCGTCAGCTTGTTCATAAATAAAGAATTAAAATAACACCTCGCTTTTACTCGAAAAGAATATGAAAAGGTCGTTGTAAGATGATAGTCGTAAAGAATACGGTAGTTCCCTTTCGAAATTGACTAGCGGCCTCATGTTCTTCGTATACGAAGCTTAGTGGATTGAAATCTTTACCGGTTTGTATGAGAATGGCATGCAGTAACCATTCGAAGTAGAAGGCTGATGTTGAAATAACGTCGATGATAGTAAGAGGTGAGCGAAGAAAACGCCGCATCGACGGACAGAACAGCATTCGAATTAGCTGCAAGTCATCGAGCAGTACATTCTGTTATCTTATTTTATGTTAGCTAATAAAAACAAGAAACGATATGGCTTAATGTATTCGACTTACCTGAAATTTCATAGTAAGCGGCAATAACTTAAGCCATTCCTTTATAAAAGATGTTCCAGGCTTGGCATATTTCCTGCTCTCCAGTGAAAAAAAATTTCATTTCGGTCATAGGTTGTAATAATCATTATAAAGGTATTGACTGTCTTTACAGAATATCACCCATTGACCTCCCTCACAGAGTGGATCTCAAGCCTGTTAGTCGCGACGCAACGTGAGGCGTCCCCAGGTGGCGGATAGAGGGTTAATAGCGAAACAAAAGCGATCTCATGCTTCCCTGAGACGCACGTCGATCCAGTGGATGACTCCTTGTTTCTGCTGCGTTGATATAGCACATGCCTTGTGCATTATTTAAGAGGAAGTGTGTTCGTTTATGCGCGCGTAGATGTGTCCTTGCTCACAATGTTATATCTTCTTTTGTTTTCTGCCTTCTATAATTTTCATAGCAGGGTACTAAGCGAAATACAACCACAACGTTGCTGAGATATTTGCAAAACTCTGGACCGCAGGTGTCTATGGTAGGGAACGAACGCGCTATTGTCCTTTCCGGGGAGTAACGCGTTCACCACCACACCATGTGGGTCCTTTGTTTCGCCTGTCCCTGTTCATGTGGATTGTATTCGGCGAGTCACTTCGGCCAAAAGCCCGCATTCAAGATGACAGGGAAGTATATCGAAGGCAGTTAGGATTCGCTTGCAACAAAAAAACCCCTCCGTCTTTTGTGGAATAGATTGACAAGGTAGCCATGAGTGTTCCCAGCCCCACACGTACAGAGCTCAACAAGTTATACGAGGGTATTGAGCGTAAACAGAGTAAAATAAACCGGTTTCATTCCCCTGACTGTGAAAAAGTCTTCGATACGACAGAGTTGAGCAGGACGAGTATGAAGAGGCTGCTAAAATTGCAGGGCCATTCTAGGCTACCTAAATCCCGAAGAACTAGGGCGACTATGTGTACCTACAACGCACGCACGCTTGCATCTTAATCGTCGAGAGAAGACTTGATCAAGCAGACAAGAAGGATAAAGTACGATGCCATGGGACTGGCTGAGACGAGAAGACGCCACTCATTCAGCGTCTATGATAGCGTAGAAGAGCTGTTACCCAAAACATGCGACAGCAGTGGAGTCGGCGGCATCGGTATCCTCGTCGACACGAGTTTGTCCGCGAACATCGATTCATTCAAATAACTGATAACCTGAATCGGAAGTCTACAATTGCAGAGATATGGATCAATACAGGCCTTGACAATCGTCGTCGCTTATCTAACGACATCAATCTATGACGAAGACGAGGTCGGAGCGTTCTACACTGACTTGGAGAAGTGTGATAGAGAAGACCATACATTCACTAATTGAGATTTTAACACTAAAATACACCAAGAAATGTCTCACTTGTACACACGGATTGGAATAGAACGAGCAAGGTGAGTGGCTGTCTGACTTTATCATGGCGACCAAGACAATCCATGGTAACTCGTAATTCCATAAGCTCCACTCTCAACGCTGGACGTGCGAGTCTGCCAGTGGAGAGTACCATAACGAAATAGACAATATTAGAACAAATCAACTCAAACGTTTTGCAGAACAACGATGTCACTGTTGTTCCAAAGTTCTACACGAAAGAAGACCATTGCCTCGGACCTTCCCAAATTCGACACGCCATTTCGTCAGTGAAAAATGGAACAGCATCAGGTCCGGACAAGATAAGATCTGAACATCTGGAGAATCTTCCGCCAGTCCTCGTAAGACACTAGATCGGTACTTCACATGCTACCTGTGTGAATGGAAGGTCCTATTCAATAGAAGATCAGCGAAACCGTGCTAACTTTCAAAAAGCGTGACCATGATATCGGCAACTTTCGCTCAATCTGCTTACAGTTTTTCGTTTACAAATTTCTCACATGAGTTACGCTAAACAAGATTGACAGAGCAGTGGACGAAGGACAGCCACGTTAGCAAGCAGGGTCACGAAAAGGATTAAGTACAGTGGACCACATCCGCAGGATATCAAGACTCACTGAAGGATTGCGGGAGTGAAGGAGATGTCACTCTATCTCACTCTCATCGTTTTAAGAAAAGCTTTTAATTCAGTTGCGATAAAAGCGGTCATGAAAGCCTTGCACAGCCAGGGCGCCCCTACTCAGTACATAAAGATACTTCGTGAACTGTACAAAAATTTCACAACGAAAATATCACCATTCAACAACGATATTAAGATTCGTATATATTGCTGAGATATTTGCAAAACTCCGGACCGCATGTGTATGCGGTGGGGAACGAACACGCGCTGTTGTCCTTACCGGGGAGCACCGCACTTCACCACCACACCATCCGGGTCACTCGTTCTACCTGTCTCTCAGCTAGTTCTATCGATCTTTTAACTGGGTTCAATGCCGATTTAGGCTCCCCAGATCAATCCCGTTGACGAGTGATTGCTGATGGCAAAAAGATCGATAGAACTAGCTGAGAGACAGCCATAACGAAGCACCCGGATGGTGTGGTGGTGAAGTGCGCTGCTCCCCGGTAAGAACAACAGCACGTGTTCGTTCCCGACCGCATACACCTGCGGTCAGGAGTTTTGCAAATATCTCAGCAATATATACGAGTTATATTTCGCAACATACTCTGCCATTGAAAAGAAAAAAAGGCAGTAAATAAAAGGATTAAGATATTAAGATTGACGTCAAAAGAGGAGTTAGGCAAGGCGATACCATCTTGCCAAAATTATTTAACGCCACTCTGCAAAACGTCATATGAACATTGGAATGAGATAATATGGGAGTAAAATCGACGGTCAGCTGTTACACTATCCTCGCTTTGCTGATGACATCGTCCTCACAAACATTAGCAAATCAGAACGTATGCTTGCTGACTTTGATAAAGCCTGTGAAAAGATTGGTGTTCGACTAAATCTCGTCAAAACGATGTTCATGAAGAACGGATTGGTTTCGCATGCCCCATTCACGCTCGACGGAACGAATATCTCCAAATGCTCAAGTAATGTCTATCTAGGTCGGGAAATCAACATAATGAGCGACTTAGCTCCAGAGTTGAGCAGGAAGAAACGAGTTGCTTCGGGAGCTTTCATGAGCGTTGAGGAAGTAATGAGGAAGACAAAGATTGCCAGGCTCCGTGCACAACTCTCTGACTCATCGATTCTCCATGCCATAGCGCATGCGTAGGAAAACTGCTCGATACCACACGGGAAGAAGGATAACTCAGGATTACAAAACGCAAGGTCGAAAGGACGATGCTACGAGCATCCCGCATCGTGAAAGTAAAAGAAGAGATCCGGAGCTCTGAACTGCGTCAACGATCAAAAACCAAAGAAGCTGTTCTATAGCGCAAATTGGCGAATATAAAGTGGAACGGATAGTAAAGCGTATGGGCCGCAGACATGAGTCTTTAGTGACTGGATCCCACTGGATGTCGAACGTACGACAAGAAAACTACTGAGCCGACAGTTAAAGTTCTCATGAAAACTCTAGAAGAAAGATATGATGCTCAGCGACTCTACTAGAGCAAGCCGAACCCACTGAGCTACTGCTGCACACGACAGGGAAAAGCAAGAGTTGTTTGCACTCGCTCGATTCACTGTGGAACAACAGGTGGTAGAATATCACCTCTTAAAGCCATTTCCGATATACATTTACTGGTGTACTTATCCATAATTTTTATTCTACCTACCAACATTTTCTTAAAATGATTTTTATTTTTCTATAGAACTTAAAATCCGAATGTTTTACTGGTCTTTTTTCCTTAAATTTTTCCCTTGAATCAAGAACCTGTTAGCCCACTGAGTTACAATAGTTGAAATATCCTTGATGTTATAATTAAAATGAATATCATTTTCCTTTCCAAGTTGGGAGCAAATCAAGATTCTTCAAGTGTTTCTTCATTTCAGCTAGATTACTTTAACAAATCGGATAGAACGCTAGATTTACTTTTGCCCTAAAAATTAGCTGGTTTAACGTACCAACTCCAAAGTGAACCACGAGTTACAGATGAGATCCACATAGAAGAAATATGGATGTGGAGCAGTGTAGGGCTTATGCGCATCGATCGCCTTCCCAAAATCCGAATAGCCATCATGCCCGAGGACTCGAAACCCGTACATCACTGAAAACCCGGATATCTCGTACTATCATTTTATCTTTTTCTGGATTGCCGGACTACAGGGGATAAAGCAGATAAAGTCTTCCGGTTTGGACAACCACTGTGGGAATCTCCATGCCGGTTCCGTTTGTGGCCTCTTAAAGACAAATATCTCGCCTAGATAATATTTCGCTAGAGTGTGCTCATGCAAAGGCGCTTTTTATCATTCTCCACCAGTTTAATGCATAAGTTTGCCGATCCTAAAAGGATGGACGACTTGGTTTTCCTGAGGCAAATAATAGAACCAATGACCACGTGTGCATTGCAAACCGTCTCTGACCACTGCGCAATACGCACTGTAGTATATTAAGCAAGGAGAGATCTCTTATTAGTATTAAGAAAACAATGCCACCGAATTTAGCGAACTTCATTCAAAAAACAAAGCTTTCTAAAGCAACTTCCACGACCGACTTTCTATTAACCTCGGCATTGATCAAGTAATTCGTCGCATTCTTGTTGAACAAACGCGTGGTGTTATTTTTATTCTTTATTCACGAATAAGCTGACGTTTCGGTGGATTTCGCCTTTCTCAGAGCCTAAAAAGGTCAAAGGTTGTCTAAAATGTTATAATTTTCCAATCAAGGGACCTACGTACGTGACGTGAAACGGAAAAATATGTAAGATTAATCATTTTTCCTATATGCGTCACGATTGCATAAAAAAAGTGTAGGACTGAAAAAAGAAGGAAAAAGTCTCTAAACAAAAATCTAAGATACTTTTCAAAGCACTTTGAGTACTACCGAGCACTACTAGTAGGACTAGCACTACTACTATCACCGCCGAGTACTAGAAATACTACTACTTGAAACACCGCCGAGAAGTCTTAAACGCCAGCTAATTCCAAAATTGCATAATATGTCCTAGCGGTAGAGACGGTGTTTGTATGAGTTCGAGTACGGTGTACCTAATCTCTTGTAAAGCGTGTGGGGACGAATATATTAGCAAAATGGGTAGACCACAGCGCATCCATATAAAAGAACACCAAGCTGGGAAACTTGAAGCTAAACCAAATAATCCACCACTAGCTCTTAGTTCAGTAAAATATAACAGAGCTTTCGAAGTTAAGGCCACTATCCTCGCACAGAAACCCAAAACATCAGCGTGCAAAACTCCTGGAACGTTTGGACAGACTTCACAAATTCAAAAATGAACACCAAGAAGGAATGCCTAGTTATCACACGTGATTTCACACAGTATTTTAGACTGATATTTTAATTTGAAAGGCTCATTACGCTTCCATGTGAACTCTGTGCTGTTGGTCTCCACGTGGAAGACGCAGTGGAAGACTCATAGAAAGCTGTGAGTGTTCGAAGATGTTATACTTTGCTCTTAGTGCGACTGAAATCGTGATTTCTGATTTCTCTGCCGGGGTCATGGAAGTATTTGGTATGGGTAGTGTTTGTCAGGCCAATTTTGGCTTAAGTTGAGGTCCTTTGAGAACCACACTGTTTAGTTAACGCATCGCTATTAAAAGGATGCGTTAACTAAACAGTGTGGTTTTCAATAGGTTGCAGTAAGTTTGAGCTTTCCGCACTCTAAAAAAAGTGAAATCCATCAAAACGTTCGCTTTTGTGAAAAAGAGTAAAGTAATAACCTGGTTTGCGTTTGTCAAGAGAACAGGCGATTATTGATCACTGCCGAGGTTAATAAAAAGTCGGTCTTGGGAATTACTTCCTCAAAGTTCCGCATATTTTATAAGTAATACGATAGGGTGGAGGTGGAGTTCCAAAGATGATGAACACAACGAAAATTCGCATGATTTTCGATCGTCGCAAATGGATTACTCACCTGTGATTTGTGGAATTTGAAATGACGGATGAGTTTTGAGCATAAATGATATCGTAGACGCCAATATAAAGAATACCGAACAGCAGGAGATGATCTGCAAATCGCATTTTCGACGTCATTCTACGCGTGGGTGATTGCGCGTAGGATTGAAAGGTGATGTTAGATGGGTGTGCGAATGTACTTGCATGTGTGTATGCACAAAAGCATGCATGCATATACGTATGCATGGTTGTTATGTGTACATGGATGTATGCACGCATGTATGTATATGACAGTGTGAATGTGTACACACATTTGCTTCGATGTATGCACTGATGTACGGATGTGTGTGTATATGTATATGTATGTATGTATGCATGTAATGTATGCAGGTAATGTCAGGGTGGTGTGTACATACACGGAAGTGTTTAACGATGAGACCACTGAACTGGCGTTTGTGTCGATAAAAAACGAAAAGCGTGAAAAAGCATGTGGTTAACCAACTCAAAAAGTGAGGCAACCAACTCAAAAAAGTATTAGGAAAAACAAGACTACAATAAGCAAGCCAACAAAAAGAAAAACGAACGCGCACATGCCTAAGCCGTTGCTGCTCTGCTGGAGTGGTGAAGGATTAGCGCGTTAAAGCTAAAATATCCCAGTAGCTAGACTTGTGTCTTTAATTATGAAATAGGTTTGGAGGACCACAGGAGGAAGGATGGCTAAAGAGGAATTCTTGGAGTTTTTCCGGTCAATAAAATTTGCGTGGTATCAGGAATAAGACACAGACTAATAGGATTTATTTTCTTCACTTCCAGGAAGTTTAGAGTTTTGTTACCCTAGCGTATTGTGAACTCCACGGTTCATCGAATAGCGCCCATATCCTCGGCTTGATTTGTTGCCACTTTGACAAAGTACCACTGTAGTAGTCATCTTCCCAGCCAAATTTTTTCGCAATCTAAAAAGTATAGTTTGTAAAGGAAACGAGCCTACCAAGTTAATTTTAACCGATTCTAAGTGCAGGATTTTTTTTTGAATATTATAATGTAATACTCTACTATACTATGGTGTTAAATATATGGGATGCTACAGCGAATATTTTCTTTTATACGACCCGACTTTCATGTCTACTCTGCGGATCCCAGCAATTCTCACATTCGATTCGTCTCCCCGCATCCATCATCCACAAAGGTCTTCAGATTTTAACGTGTGGCTTTGCTTGAGGATTTTCCCTTTACCTTCAGTGTAGTAGAATGGTGGTGGAGTCGATTCTTCCTGGAGTCCTGGGTTAGCCGGGTTACAGTGTTCCCACTTGGATTGCAAAGAGTGATTTTTTTTAGCAGACATGTTCAGGATCAATTTATCGATTCTTGCAGTATGATAAGCTTGGTGACCCCGGCACAGGATCGGAACAGTGTTGTGCTCGGGATGATCAGCACTATTACCGCTGTGCTACCTGCCCCTAAACGAAATAAGAAACAAGAAATGACAATGGGGTCGACGTTGATCAATCCCTAGGAGATGCGCCATGCATTTGATCCATTAAGGATGAATAAACATGAATGATTGAGAACACTAAATAAGGTATGCATAGTGACTTGACGAAGCCTATTGATTCAATTTTTCTTACCTCCTCAAATTACCCGATATGGATTTGAAGAACCCGCGTGAACCAGGGCTTTGATGGCCCAGCGTGTCCAATCGAACCATCAACCACATGTGTGTTATATGCGAGCTTGCTACCTACGCTCTAGTGTTTTATGAAACTATACTTGGTCCTCTGAAATAGTACATTATTTACTGTTCTCAAACTCCATCAGTTAGCCTCCCTCTTTTCGAGATTGGGAAACTGACACCGAACATGTCTGGTGTAATCTCACGTCTCGCAATTTACACGGAACGCTTTAACGTGGTTTTTCGAGTACTCATGGAAGAATATACTCTAGCAATATACAAGGAGATTCGCAAACATGATGCAAATCCTCAAGCAGCACGAACTCACATGGAAAAGTTTGAAGGACTTCGTGGATGGTGCAGGTAATAAAGGACTTGAATACAAGGTGCTGGGATTCGTACAGTAAATGTGAAGACGGGTCATGGAAAATAATTAAAAAATAATTCCATTACATTCACCCTATTAAGTCTAACTTGACCGGCCAGTGGACTGATAGCAAGTTTCACTGCAATCACAGGAATGGATATCATCCAGAAAGAATCCTATTCGCAAGGTAACAAGTTTGTCTCCAATGCATAAAGGCCAGCAACTGCCACTATTGACGAGACGAGAACGCCGTAGTCTGGTTATGTCGAGTATCCAGAGGAAGTGAAGGTAGACGATCATTTAGCTGGCTGAATTAGAAGATAACTGAGCCTGGAGTTGTAAATGAAGCCAAGCTCGATCATTTCCTGGATAACGGTTGCAATGACAAGACTAATGTAAGAAGCACAGAGACCCGCATATGCGAAGAAGGACCATCTAGATATCTGAGTATGTAGGTATTGCGCTATGCTTCAAAACAGAAGACCTAAGGTTCTAATGGAACAATGAAAGCAGTTTGTACAAACTATAAAACGATAGTATAAAGAGCTATCTACTTGAAAATTTAGAGTTGGATTATTTTGTCATTGTTTATTTCTTTATTATTGATTTTATTACTTAATTAAATGCACTTCATTATGTAAAACTAACATGCCGCCCCAATTTTGCAGATTCTCCATGAGACAGAATTGAACATTATTTACTCATGACGATGTTCCTAAGAGAGATAGCGAATAAGAGCCAAAATGACCCGAGTGAATGTGCTATACCTCTTCTTGTGTCGGTGGATCTCCATCAAGGTCTAATGACTCAATAACAGCTAACGTATCTTGGGTATCCCTAAATATAAAAATAAGCGTGAAAAAGATCCACTGGGATAGATATCAAAGTGAGAGTGGTTAGAAAAGCAGAAAGCAGAATCCAGAAAAGGATAGGGAAAAGTAGAGAAATAGAGTAGCAAGAGTTTAACAGCGGGAAAAAATACCTGTGTTGTGTGTACGTCATCCAACAACACGGTTCAACCTGAAGTTAGGAGTTTTATATTGAAAGAATGTCTTTCGGAAAAACGAGACCTCAAGAAAGGTTTTTAAATCTACGAAAAGCTTGCTACAGAACATCTAAGTGTGAAGAAATTTCTCCAGCACAATTTACGAATTGCTCGAAGGAAAGGCGTTAAAAATCTCAAGCTCCTCTCACCTGTTTCAATGTTTACTCTTTCGATTATTCAGATTAATCGCATAGAGTTCATCCTTGAGCTAGCAAGGTGACCCAGACTGATGAGTCCGATATTTCTAGACTTTTGGCCCAGAAACTTTTTGCTTTTATCATTTTAATGGTTCGCTACCACATAGAACGCAGATCCCAGGAATTCTTTTGTTTAATATGCCTCTTTGGGTTCGTTATTCACAAAGGTTTTCAGATTTGTGTGTGTATGCTGCTATTGCTTGAAGATTTTTCGTCTTCTTCATAAAATTCGCTGAGTGCCATTTGAATAGAGCTTCTCTGGAATCCTGGGAAGCTATTTCTAACCACAGCCAGTCCTCCCAGCCTTTGTGCTTCCCAGAAAAATCTAGACCCATTGTACTAAATGCGAGTGAATAGAGGCCTTGGCTTGCACTGTTCGGAGTCGAACAAGCGACCGTGCCTGGATTCGAGCACGGTACCCCTAACTACTGCGCTTTCCGAATGTGAATCTTACGACCATTAACGGGATTATAAGTTATGCAAGTGTCACAAATCACAAGCCACTAGCAAAAGACGTAGTTTGCAAATTTAGAGAGGAAACAACCTGATTGGCATCTAGTCCCCAGAATTCCAGTTCTTCTTCGAATAGTGGGCCACAAACATTCGTTGGATAGTGGAGTTTGCCTAAATTAAAAACGTAGGCGATCAAATAACCTCCATTTCCAAGACTTGGGATACATCCATCATTGGAGAAGATAAGCGTGTGAAATTCATTCCGAAGTACTATTTTGTCTAAAGATCCGATTTTGTGCTGAAACGCCTAGACGAGTTAATCTTGAGATATTTAAGCTGCTAAGTGGTTGCTGAAAAAGCAGAAACGGAAAATCCCTCGTTTCATCTCAATTCGTCACCGGCAACGACGGCATCGTAGGCAGCTTGTGCCATTTCCCGCCGATAATTTCATGAATGGAAAAAAGCGCACACTGAGGAGCAGATGCAGGAAATTATTGCTAAGCTTAACGTTCGTGTACATAGTGTACAAGCAGAGTCCTATATCCATTTCACAACAACCAGACGAATAGCTTGCGCCTATGCTCTCATTTCAGAAGCCTTAGGAAGAGAATAACCTAACGAAAGGCTGTTCGTGTCCTGCCTCGAACAAGCCTTTAGAAACTCTGGCACGAGATACGTGCAAATGGAGGGCTTCTTGCTACTGAGTCAGGCTTACACTATGGCTAACACATTCGCAACAACGCGCGTTGATTTAAATGCGTATGATGCGAAAATCGCTGCTTTCAACTTCAAGCCTACGTATCTCAGGTCATATCAAACTTTTAAAAATGTTGAATAAACAATTAGAATCTGCAGACCTTCTTCTACAAGCGTTAGTTCTTTTATTTTACTATAATAAAATTCAGATTTTCTGCAGATCACGGAACGTATTTTCCTTGTTTTCTTTCGCTCAAGCTCATAACTCGAACCAGAGAGAAACTAAGCAAGCTGGATATTGTCTCCATTTGGACGCAATGTCATTTTTAAACATATCGTTGGCTTTTGTAGCAGCCGGGTTTGCACTAGAAATTTGAGAAATTTGTTTTCTTTAATTAAAAATTTTTTTAATTTAAAATTTTTTTGCAGTTTTAATCCAAAATAAATCTGAGATTGCGAGAATACTAAAGGAAAAACTATGCGTTTTCTTCAGGAAAAGAGCAACATCTTCTTTATAAGTCTGGAAACTTTTGAACTGCTCCATTACTTTATTGATGAAGATACAATCGTCTGCTACATAAAGCGAGCTTCGCCGCGATTCCGTTTAAATTGAATTACTAGTACATGTTATAGGTAGTGGTCGGACTCGGTGGTGAAGGACCAGAAATTCCATTCAAAGCCGTTCAGTCGGTCAACACTATTTTCACTGTAATTTACCTTATTGATAAGCTAACATCAGGTTGTTACCAAACATTTATTGAGCTAACGTTTCGACGTCTCCGACTTCACCACAAACGATGGTCTGAGTCGATGGCCCACAATCGTTCGTCCTCGTGATGTGGGGTCTTCGTCGTCGCATCGAGTCGAATCTACTTCAGTGGGGCACTACTTGAACAAAGTAACGGCGACGTGCTTTTCTAAGGGACTGTTGTTGATGGTAGTGCTTACTCGCTGATGACTCTTTTCATTGTCCGAATAGCGTCAGCTGGCAATGCACGAACATATCGGAGTAGCTAAACCTATTCTCATCTGACGCGTGCTCATTGTCGTCTGTCTTTTTGCTATTTGGAGATACTCGGCATTCCCTAGAGCTTTCGATCCACCACCAACTACTGAGCTGGATGTCAATATTCAGACAAACTGTGATAAAGGGATGTCATATGAAGTCGAAAATAAAATGGAGCAAAAAATCGGAGCAGTGATGCCTGACTACTTTTATCACACTTGTTAGGCCTTTTGATTTACTTACTACTATTTACTATTTACTGATTTTCCGTTTTTTGTTTCATTGCTTATTATCACCCATCATTTGTCACTTAGGTCCCTTCAGTTTTGAATTTTCAGCAGAATATCTTCTGTGACCTGTTACTCTATCTATAGAATGTTATAAGTCTAAAGATACAAAAGAATCTTGCTTAACAGTGGAGGGAAGGAGTATGAGAGAAAACCTATAAAATTTGATTGCTTACCTGTCCTATAATAGTTTAAAATCATAGAAAACACGCCAGGATGTCGATCAAAGAAGTATTCGTTCAGCACGGGGTCATAATTGGCAAGGTTCGGTGTTAACCTGCAATTAATTTCAGATCACTTCTACGAAGAACTAAAAAGAAACACCATGACATCAATAATCCAAAAAACCCTCCAGAGACTACTAACGCTGATTGCTTGCATAATGAAAGGTTATCAAATCAGAGACCGGGATCTGTAATCGTAGCCGGAGCAATCAGCTCAGTAGTTTTCCCATAGCAGCTCGTCCAAAAAAGAAAGAAAACGAATAATCAAGTCTTTTATCAGGTAAAACTCTATTAATTTCCACTAGTAATGGCATGAAGACTGATTAGAACAAAAAGCTTAGACACGAAACACGAAGGAGCAATAAACATGTACGGCTTCTCGATTCAGCAGTTGATGACACTCTTAAAGGAGTGCCTAAACTGCTCAATCTTCAGATGGTCCGGGAGGTATTACGCACAAATGAGAGGGCTGGCAATGGGACAACGACTGGCACCAAGCCTTGCCATTGCATTCATATCTAAGGTGGAAGCGCCAGTAATCGACCTCGGTCCGTTACTCTACTGTAGATATATAGATGATTGCTCGGTCATTTCGATGCAAGAAGAAATCGACAGATGTTTCGAGTTGTTGAACACACAGTCAGAGTATATTAAATTCACCCGAGAGAAACCAAAAGAAGACTGGCTTCCATTTCTGAACGTGCAAATTAGCCTATCAGAAAACGGCTACATTACAAAGTGGTATCGAAATCCAAGTAGTGAAAACATCCTAGTTCATTACCTTTCCTCTCATCCCTCTCACGCGAAAAGGACGCTTGTGAGAAACATGTATCGAACCGCTACCAGCGTGTGCACAGAAAGACAACAGAGAGAGGAGTCCCGGAACTTGGCGCGGCAAATAGCCATTTTTAATGGCTACGAAACCGTAGCTCGAAATAGGTGTAGAGGAAACCACAGGTACCCCAACGATAACTCTAGCGGCAACATGGTCCCCTTTATACTGCCCTTCATTTCAAATGAAGTAAGTGCAGCTATAAAACACTGTTTAAGAAGGGCCAGTCTAGAGAATTCGGTAACGATAATTGAAATACCACCGAATAATCTAAGACGCCAGCTAGTTCGTAACCGCCTATACGACCGTCTATGTGCAACGCAAAATTGCATAATTTGCCCCAATGGTAGAGACGGTGACTGCATGAGTTCGGGTACAGTCTATCTGAACTCTTGTAAAGCGTGCGGGGACGAATACGTTGGCGAAACGGGTAGACCACTCTGCGTGCGTATAAAAGAACACCTAGTCGGCAAACGTAAGCTAAGTACTCCACTAGGTACGCATAGCACACAGAAACATAACGGAGAAGATTTTGAAGTAAGGATTACGATCCTCGCGCAAGAATCGAGAACACAAGCGCGCAAAACTCTAGAGGAATTCTGGATTAATTCCAAGAATCCGGAAATGAACCGCAGGGAGGAATGCCTCGTTATCACGCGTGATATTGGACAGTATATAAACCTGTTATTCTGATGGGAGGTGCACATTATGCTTCCATGTGAATTCTGTGCGGTCGGCCTTCACGCGACATAGTCAGTGGAAGACTCATAGAAAGCGGTGAGTGTGCAGAGCTATGCTAAATGTGATTGAAATCTTGGTTCAGCGTTTTTTCTGTTTGGTTATGGAGGTGTTTGGCCGAGTGGATTGCTGTCAACTTGACCCTTCCAGACTCTGAGAAAGGCGAAATCCGCCGAAATGTCAGCTTGTGCGTAAATAAAGAAATAAAATAGCACCTCGTGTTTGTTGAACAGAAGTAGGAAAAAGTTTAGACTTTTGAGTTAACGTCGTAGTTCAGTACAGGCCTGCTTTCATGGGCTTCCTAGCCTAGGATGTTTAACTTTGCATTGAGTCAATAAATGTTGAAGCGCTTCAAGTTCTCATCTTCTCGCAAACACATTTTCAGTTCTACCAACAAGCCTCGAGATGTACTTCATGAAGGAAAGGAAGAGATGTATTCACTTTTTCACATTTCCAAAACCGTAGGAACTGAATATTTGAACTCCTCCTACGACAAATCTTCTCTCAGAATCGAAGATGTGAAATTTCGAACAACTATCTTAAAAGTTAAGAGCTCAGCTAATTAGCAGTTAAGAATTCAATGAAGTCACACCTGGATAGCCTGGTGGCAGGAATCTTCTTGAGCACATGTGTGTACGTTTCGTGTCTTATGCCACCAACGTTGAGGATCACCCGATGTTCGGTGTCCATCCACGACTAGAAAAAGAGCGAAATTTAACAAATTATCCAACAGATTATGCAAAATGGCATCAGCAAATTCTCTTCCTCTTTCTCCCTCCTTTTTTCCCCTCTCCCTCGCTGCCTCTCTCTCAGTCGTTGACTTATATCGTGGAAAGAATAGCACAGAAATCGCAAGAAAACTGAAAATGTTGGAAAACTGAAGTAATACCACATAAGGGACAAAACAGTCAGCTAAGAAATGTTCGAAGCGCCATAAAAAAAGTTAGCGAGACGAAAAAAAAAAAGGAAAGATAGAGATATAGGATAGTTCGCTAGCCTTGTAAAACTCGGCAAAGCAAGGTTGACTTATTTTTAAAAAAATCACATAAAATAAAAAAAAACAAAATTTTTAATGCGGTTTCAACAGTTAAAGAAATAGTTTCAAACCAAGTTGAAGACAGAAAGATATTTTAAGAAATTATGCCTCTAGCTAGAAAACGAGCGGGTGCGGCGCAGTGGTTCGAGACGCCACTGCGACACGTGGAATCGATCTCCGCGCCCATGGCCCACTAAGCCTTCCGTGCCTCCGGGATCGGAAAATTGGTACCATACTTGTCTGGGAGGGATAGCAGCACTGACTCGATACATCGGTAGGCCACCGCGAGTCATTGTAAAGGCCAGATATGCATTCAATCTCCTCCAACAATACCTAATGAAGTCGACTGCATTGCACATCCCTCAGGGATTGATCAACGCCGAGAGCTTTACCATTTTTTATGATCTGAGCTTGAAAGTATGTAATGGACTGAAGAAAATAAATACCAACTGGATCTGCTCATCGATCTGAAACACGACGAAATAAACGCCTTCCATATTTCCCTTAGAATCCCTAAGAACTCCATTCTGAAGGTCGTGCACACTTACTCGAATTAACGAGCTTCTCTGCACGAATGTTGGAGCTTTAGCGCAGTTTCTATTCTATTAGTCATTTGCTACGACAAAGTTTTGTGAGAGGGAAGAAACGCCTTGAGATTTAAGGAAAAGAAAGAATGGAAAAATAACCGCAAATAAGGATGGAGAGAAAATATAGAGAGACGGTCAATACGTTGAATGAAAGACTGGAAAACCGATTGGCAGTACGACAACGAAAATGAAAAGTGGAATGGACGAGAAGAAAAATGAGGCATGTAAAAAACAGGCTAAAGGAAACGAAAGTGCGTGTTTCGGAAAAAAGGTTGGTACTGATTAGCTTTTGCGGCTAACTGGTAGTGAGCCTAACTGCGCTACATAAACGCTTTAAAGGCCTCCGCACTAAAAAATAACCAGCTACTAAAAAATTTGTTCCTGATCATCGACATGGAGACAATGAATGACAAGCGCTGAACAATCTTCCCATTGGCTTCTGCATCTGATCAGCAGCAAATTTTTGTGCTAACAAGGAACGCAAATTAGAAATGTCAGCGCTCCACTTAGTGCAGCATCAATTTCAAATTCACGCAGATTGCCTTAGGCGTCGTCCATACCCACCATCGTCGCCGTCGGCCTCCACCGTTGCCGTGAGCTCCACTGCCTCCGTCGTCCATCGATGTCACCCTCACATTGGCCACTCTTCGCTATTGCATTAATAACAATCGAGAAACGCCGAAGACAACCAAACACAGGTTCTGAAGAAGGCGAAGTCACCAAAACGTAGGCCATCGAGTATCAAAGAAATTGGATAAGAACTTCCCACTGGCTGAACAGGGGTAATTCGTAAGACTTAAATAGATTATTTATTGACGTTGAGCTTTATTAAAAGTCAGTCTTTCGAAATACTAAATAAACAGTTGATATTCTATTTCTAGAAGTTTGAAAACCCGAAGAAGTAAATAAGGTGCATCTACAGGCATCATCACCCGTATCACCTGTATCACCTATGGTCCCGTTGATCGTCGAGTGACTCGAGCGGGCGCCAGTAAATCTTCCATTTTTCCCTGTCGCGTGCAAGAGAAGCCTTGTGGGTTCTGCTCGCTTTAGAGACTCGTCGAGCATTATATCTTTCTTCAAGTCTTTTTGTGAAGAACTCTGGCCATCGGGTCGGTGTTCTTCCTGTAGTACGTTTGACATCCCGAGGAATCCAGTCACTAACGACTCTTGTCCATCGGTTGTCATTCATACACATTACGTGTCCGGCCCACCTTATCTTCGACCGTTTGGCGTACAGAACAGCATCTTTGGTTTTTGTTCGTTGACGCTGGTCGGTGCTTTGGATTCCTTGCTTTACTTGCGTGAAACGAGATACTCCTAGCATCGTCTCTGCGCATTCGATAAGGCTGAGTGACCTTTCTTCCTGCTTACGCAGCGACCAGCTTTCTGAGGCATACGCTAGGGCAGGAAGTTTCGTTGAGTCGAAAAGGTGGGCATGGAGTCGGGTGTTCTCTGTTTCCTTCACTACATCCTCGATGCTCTTGAAACTTTCTAAGCCGCTCGTTTCCTTCTGCTTAGCTCTGGAGCCAAGTCGTTAATCATAGTCATTTCCCGACCTAAATAGACGTAACTAGAGCATTCGGGGATATTCGTTCCGTTGAGCGTGAATGGGCCATGCGAAACCAGTCCTTTCATCATGAACATCGTTTCTGCGAGATTTAGTCGAAGACCAATCTTTCCACGGGCTGTATCAAAGTCGTCAAGCATACGTTCCGCTTGGATAATGTTTGATGTTATAAGTACGTTATTATCTGCAATGTGAAAATGATGTGATTGCTGTCCATCCATTTTCATAACTCGAAAGACCGACTTTCTATAAACCTCAGCATAGATAGTTGATATATTTATTTATATGATCTTATAAACTGATCTTTTTAAGCTGACGCGAGGTTGGCACAGGTCTTCGTTGTCGTTGTCGCTGTTTTTCCATATTTATATTTTATATGATATGATTGATCGATGGCTCGATAACATCAAAAACAGCGACGACGACAACGAAGACCTGTGCCAACCTCGCGTCAGTTTAAGAAGAACAGTTTATAAGATCATATAAATAAATACATCCATTTTCACTCCTATGTTATCCCATTTCAATGTTGGCATGACGTTCTGGAGTGTGGCGATAAATAATTTTGGCGAGATGGTATCGCCTTGTCTAGCTCCTCTTTTGACGTCAATGTTGATATCGTTGTAGAATGGTATGGTGATACCTTGGTTGTGAAATTTTTGTACAGCTCACGAAAGGACTTTATGTACTGAGTAGGGATTCCTTGACTATCAAGGGCTTCCAAGACTGCGTCTATCTCAACTGAATCAAAGGCCTTCTGTAAATCGATGATAGCGAGACAGAGCGGTCTTTTGTACTCTTGCAATACTTCAATGAGCCGTGTTACCGTGTGGATGTGGTCCATCGTACTAAATCCTCTTCGAAACCCTGCTTGCTCAGATGGCTGTCCCTCGTCTAATGTTCTGTCAATCCTGTTTAGGATGACTCGAGTGAAATGTTTGTAGACGACAGAGAGTAAGCAGATTGGGCGATAGTTGCCGATATCGTGTAGGTCACCCATCTCGAACTATAACACGGTCTTGCTGATCTTCCACTGAGTAGAGACTTTGCATTCAGACAGATATCGTATGAAGAGCCGAGCAGGTGTGTTTACGAGGACTTAGGAAGGAAGGTGGAATGTTCTTCAGGTGTTCTGGTCTTATCTTGTCCGGACTTGGTGCTGTTCGATTTTTAACCTACGATATGGCATGTCGGATTTCGGAAGAGAGGACCGGTGGAACAACATATCCATCCTCCCTTGTTTCATATGACGAAAGGTGGACGTGAGTATCGAAGAGATCCGAGTAGTATTCGTGAATGACTTTCTCATTGCCTTTCTGGACGCTGTAACTGTTCCGTCTGGGCGCCTGAGTGCAATCATTTTGGTCTTGTAATTGGCGAAGCTTTGGTGGGCATTGCGAATGCTTTTCCCAGTCTCTGCAGCTTCGACGATTGCTGCTGCTCTTCTCTCTTCAAGGTCTCCTTTCACCGCCTGTCTACATTGTTTTGCAAGTTCGGACGTTAGTTCGCGGTAGCCTGTAGATCGCGCGATTCCACGCTGGCGTATCAGCTCGAGTGTTTCTGGAGACAAACGTCTCTTGGTGACTTTCGAACTCTTAGCTTTCATAGCGCTAACGTGAAGGTGTTGAATGAGCCGATCGTATACTTCGCCGATGTTGTCGACAACGGCATCTTCCCAACAGCCGACTAATGAATTGAATAAGTCCTAGTCTACCGCGGTTCTGGGACATTGCTTTTTGAATTTAGCTGCTTTTTCTCCTTTCGCAAGAAATAGAATCTTGCACGAAGGAGACGATGGTCTGATCAGGTGTAGAATTTTGGAACAACAGCGACACTGGTTAGGCAAAACCATCTATTTACTATGATGTGGTCTATTTCGTTATGGTACTCTCCACTGGGAGACTCCCACGTCCGGCGCTGAGGGGGGGGCTTCTGGAATTGCGAGTTACCACAGATTGTCTTGGTCGCCATGATAAACTCAGACAGCCGCTCACCCTATTCGTTCCATTCCAATCCGTGGGTCCCAATGTGACGTTTTTCAGACGATCTTCTTGGTCCAATCTTGGCGTTGAAATCTCCAATGATGACCTTGAAGAATGTGTGGTCTTCTCTGTAGAAGTTCTCCAAGTCCATATAAAACGCTTCTACTTCTTCTTCATCATAGTTTGATGTCGGTGCGTAAACGACGAAGATTGTCAAAGCCGGAACTGATCCACGTCTTTTTAATCGTAAACGTCCGATTCAGGTTGTAAGTTGTCCGAATAAATCGATGTTCATGGACAAACTCGTGTCGACGAGAACACTGACGCCGCCGACTCCTCTACTCTCGCATGTTCCGAGGAGCAGTTCTTCTCCCGTGTCATTGACGGCGTTCAAAGGCTGGTGTTTCCTCGTCTCGGCCAGGCCGATGACGTCGTATTTTATCCTTTCTGTTTGCATGAGCAAGTCTTCTATCGAGTACTCGGATGCAAGTTTACGTGCATTGTAGGTACAGGTC